CAGGAAACGAACAACTAGGTAGTTTTTCCCTAGTGTGCGTCCTTCGACCGGTTCATGTGATGCCGCTATGGCAGCCACATATACTTTGAGCGTGGAGGGGGTGCGGCCTGCCTCCAACAGCTCTTGTAAGAAAACGAGCACACTCGGTACTTCGCATGTCTCAGGATTCAGGTTCCTGGATTTACACCAGTCACTGAACACCTTCCATTTCTGGGCATATAAGCGCCTCGTAGAGGGCGCTCGCGCCTCAGTGATGGTTCTCAACACTCCACTGGGGAGGTTCCCGGGAATCCGTTGAGGGGCCACGCATGGAGGGCCCACAGATCGGGGCGGGGATGGAGGATCATCCCGTTGGCCTGCCTGAGGAGATCTAGTCTCAGTGGAATCGGCCATGGGGCAGATTGCATCATCTGCATCAGTTCTGGAAACCACGTCTGGTTCTTCCAGAGTGGGGCTACCAGGAGCACTGCACATTTCTCCTCCCTGATCCGACTGATGACCTGAGGTAGCATCGCGACCGGAGGGAAGGCATACAGCGGGCGGCTCGGCCAGACTTGGGCGAGCGCGTCTGTGCTCTTTGAAAAGAAGAGAGGGCAGTGCGCATTTTCCTTGGAGGCAAAGAGGTCGACCTCTGCTCTGCCAAAGGTTTGCCATAACCACTGAATCGTCAGGGGGTGGAGAGACCATTCTCCTGGGAGAACTTTGTCTCTGGACAGCATGTCCGCTCCCTGGTTCAGAACACCTGGCACATGCGCTGCTCTTAGCGAGCGCAGGTTGCGCTGGGACCATAGGAGGAGCTCCCTGGCCATCGAGTGCAGGGAGCTCGATCTGAGTCCACCCTGACGATTTATATGCGAGACTACCGTCATGTTGTCCGTTCGGACTAGGACGTGCTCGTCCTTCAGGTACGGAAGCAGGGCTCTGAGAGCCAAAGCGACCGCTTTCAATTCCAGACAGTTTATATGTAGGCGCTTCTCCGGGTTTGACCACAAACCGGAGACAGGCCTGCCCTCGTAAAGGGCCCCCCAACCTATTTTGGAGGCATCTGTCGTGATCATTTTTCTCCTTGTGTTCACGCCCAAACTCACGCCGGACTGATACCAGTCGACAGCTTTCCAGGGCGTCAGGGCTTTTATGCAGCCGTGATTTGCTCTGATTAAAAAGTGGCCCGAGCGCCACGCGTGAGTGGGGACATGGCTTTTGAGCCAGCGTTGGAGAGGACGCATGTGCAACAATCCTAGCTGGAGTACAGCTGATGCTGAGGCCATGAGACCGAGCATCCTCTGAAATCGCTTGACGGGGGCGCGCGCACCCGCTCTGAACGATGTTGCAAGGCGCCGGATAGTGAGCGCGCGCTCTGATGAGAGGCGCGCAGTCATCTGCACTGAGTCTAGCACTATTCCCAGAAAAGAAATATTCTGGCTGGGGGATAGCATGCTCTTTGCAAAATTGATTTTTAGACCTAGGCACTCTAGATGACTGATAATCCAAGACCTGTGTGTCACTAACTGGCTCTCTGATTGTGCTAGGATTAGCCAATCGTCGAGATAATTTAGTATTCGCACTCCCCACTGTCTCAGGGGGGAAGTGCTGCATCCATACATTTCGTAAATGTACGGGGTGCCAGTGACAGGCCGAATGGTAGTACTGTGTACTGGTATGACTGTCCCTCGAAAGCGAATCTCAGAAATGGCCTGTGATGAGGCGCTATTGGAATGTGAAAGTAAGCGTCTTTCAGATCCACTGACAGAAACCAATCCCCCGGGCGAACTTGCGCGAGGATATGCTTGGTTGTTAATATTCTGAACGAGCGAATCATTAAAGCTTTGTTCAGATGTCTGAGATCTAGAATGGGGCGGAGACCGCCATCCTTTTTCGGGACGAGAAAATAGCGGCTGTAAAAACCTGCCTCGCTCATAGAGGGGGGGACTGTTTCTATAGCGCCTTTCTCTATCAGTTTGAGCATCTCGGTGCGTAGAACATGTGAAACATCTTTTCTCACTTTCGTCTCTACCACTGCTGTGAAGCGGGGCGGTCTGCGAGCGAATTGAAGCGAGTAACCGTGTTTTATTATGTTCAAAACCCATTTCGGCATGTCGGGGATATTTTCCCAAGCTTTCGCTCGCACAGATATGGGCTGAATGCTGGCTGGGGGCGTGTCGCAGTGACGTATGGCTCCCGCCAGCGAATCGTTCTGTGTTAATACCGAGCTTACAGCTCTCAGCGGCGCGGGCGCGCGCTGAGCAGCTCTGTTGAATGCCGAGTGCAGGGGTGCGTGTGAGATTACAGGCACGCTCGCTGTAATGCTCACAGAGTGAGATGGGGAAATGTTTAACACTGTGTGTATAGTGCTTATGGGTGGGGGTGCATAGACTGTGGTAGGCACGCGCGCCACTTTCATAAAACTTCCCGCTCGTGGCGGGAGGTTTTTGGCCATATAAACAGTGTTTGTGAGTTGGGGTGCGTGCATAACAGCGGGCACACGCGCTACTCTTATACAACTTCCCGCTTTTACTGGGGAAGTGTTTATAACTGTGGGAACAGTGCTTGTGTGTAGTGGTGCATACGTGACAGTTGGCACACAATCTACATTTATGGGGCGTCCAGCCTGGGCTGGGAAAACATTTGGCACTGCGTTGACAGTTTTGATATGTGGGAATGCGCACTTTGGTGTGGACACGTGACCCTTTAATGACACAGGCAGAAAATAGCTCTTTATGTGATTTCTGTTTGTCGCCGTAAAAACGGCGTTTGTTTGCAGGTGGGCGAGCTGTGTGGCTGGCACATTGGCTGCTGTATAGACATTTCCAGCCGCCTGTAAGGGGACTGGGTAATGCTTTAAACGTTTTGGAGAGAACGGTCCGGCTCTTGCGAGACACGCGCTCTCCCTTTTCCTCCCTGTAGCTAGGAGGACTTACGAGGCTCTGGGTTCAGCACAATCCTGGGCCGAGGTCCCCGTCGCTCGGGCGGTTGTTTCCTGTTGGCAGAGCGCGAGCTGCGTCGAAAATCCGTTTCAGGTTTGGGCTGAGAGACGGGGGGCGCCGTCTTAGCTCGCTGCTGCTGAGGCGGCCGTTGGCGGCTCTGCGATGAGCTAGATCGCTTGGGCAGGAAGTGACGCATAGCCTGTGAGTCCTTACGGGCTTCGGTGAAGCGCTCGGCGAACTCCTTCACCGCTGGTCCAAACAGGCCGCTTTGGGAGATAGGCGCGTCGAGAAATGACGCCTTATCTGCATCCTTCATCTCTGTTAGCGTCAGCCACAGATGGCGCTCAAGGACAGTCAGGTTAGCCATAGCACGGCCGATGGATTGGGCGGTGGCTTTTGTAGCTCGCAGCGCTATGTCAGTGGCGCTGCGTAGGTCCTTAAATGCCTTAGGATCGGGTCCAGACTCGTCCATACTGCGGAGAAGTTTGGCTTGAAACACCTGGAGGACAGCCATAGAGTGAAGCGCTGATGCAGCTTGGCCGGTGGCGGCGTATGCGCGACCGGCGAGAGCTGAAGTAGACCGGCAAGGCTTCGAGGGATGAGAAGCTTTAGCTTTCCATCCAGCGTTGGAGGATGGACACAGATGATTGGCCACAGCCTCCTCGAGGGGCGGAGTCCCCTCATAGCCTCTTTCTTTCGCGCCGTCCACAGAGGAGAGCGACAAAGAAAAAGAAGGCTTCAGGCGAGCGGAGTGCGGGGCATTCCACGACTTCGTGAGTTCGTCGTGAACTTCCGGGAAGAAGGGGGAGGGTCTTTGTCGAGGGGCCTGTCGGCGCCCCTGCAGGAACCACTCGTCCAGTCGGCTGCGGGCGGGTTCTTCCGGGGAAGACCAATCGAGCCCGAGGTCTTCCACGGCCTTAGAGAGAATGCGGACGATCTCCGAGTCCATGCTGGAGCCCGCGCTCGTGCCCGCTGATGTCGATGGAGCGGGGTCGAAGGACGAGCCCGGCCAGTCGTCGGATGCAGCATCACAGGAAAAACTGTCATCCTTATCATCATCATCCCCTGACGCGCCAAACGAGACGAGCCCCATCGCTCCGCTGGAGGGGTGCTGGTCCGCCTGTGTGAACTGGACTGGCGGCGGGGAGTCTTCGGGTGGTGGTGAAGCACGCGGGGATTGGCCCGGCGTGACATCACTGCAAACCGCGTGCTCCGGCGGCCTCTGTGAGCGGCGTTTTTTCTTTCGCGGCTCGACTAGAGGAGACGGCAGCACGGAAGAGGTGGGCCCAGGGCGTCACACTCGGGACATCCGCCTCGAGTGAGGGCAGCCTCTGCGTGGTCCGGTCCCAGGCAGCGGGCGCAGATGATGTGACGATCCACGTCCTGAAGAGGGCCTCGACACGAGGCGCAGGAAGGCATTTGAAACAACGCCTTGTTAAATTTGCTCTTTTAGAAAGTGTCGCGGGGGCGAACACTGATAGCTTTTGAAAGGATATTAGATGATGCGCGCCGGATGGCTTAGCAGAAGGGCGATCGAAGGCGGCTGAAGGCGCCGGCGTCCTCGAAGCAGTCCTGCTGTAGGCTTGTCGATGGCGGCGGCGAAAAGACTCCAACAAATCCGGAGGATCCAGCGAAGAGAAGGTTCTTTGCTGAAGGAGATTAAATCTAAAGAACTCAGACGACGGGGCGCCCAATATATAACCCTTGGCCACGCCCATCTTGGCGGGCTCTGACGCGCGTGGGCGCGAAGCACGCTCATTGGAAGCGGGTTCAGAGTCGCCCCGTCATTGGTTCGTGCAAGTTGCCGCAGCACAGCCAATGACCGAGCTGCCTCGCTGTGCTGCAATGCGTTTTACATAAAGACTTCAATATTTCTCGAGAAAAGGAGTTTTCCCATAGCGTAAGCTTACGCAATAAGAGGAACCTCTCGAAAGGGAACTTTTTTTTTTGGTTAAATGGGAATTTTTGCAGTTTACATTGGCCGTATTTTCAAATCGCAATTTGAAGGGTAATGGAACGCAGCTAATGTTTCAGATTCATTATTTTGGAGCGAGGGGCTATTGCTCTGTCACTCACCCCAGTGCGTAGACATCTGGAGGTTCTGAGTCACAGCACAGCCAGGGCTCAAGACTGCTGTCAGGGGACTGACCGTTCACATTCCAAGTGCCCAAGAAGAACCTGTAAAATACAATGACTTACTCAAACACCTGGAATCAGTCAAAACAAAATGATTGACATTACGTTTCCAGGCATGTGACACTCACCGAAAGTTCTTAATGTCCACATATTCTTTCTCTTTCTTGCTGAGGCGATACTTGAGCAGGCCTTCCCTTGACCCTGACTGGCTGCTCATCATGGTCTGTCTCATGGTGTAGTTGGATGGGCTGTCAGACCAGGAAACAGAGCGGTCTACAGACTGAAATCTGCTACAAAAAACAACACTGAGTTAAACAAATCTGAAAATGCACAGGCTTCAGCATTTAAAACCAGTAGCACTCACTCATTTCTGACAGGTGTGGCATTCAGTGCGGAGGGTGGCCTTTCTTTAGCAGTCAGGCCTGCCGTGAGGTTAGTCGATGGCTTGTATGTGCCTTTTCGAGGGGGAAGAGGGGGCACTGGTGGAGGGGGCGGCTCTCGTTGTGCAACTATACGGTTTTGTTGGTTCTTCTTCTCTTCCACTTTTATACAATGGTTAAAATTTTCTTCGAAACCAAAATCTGTCGCAAGCGAGAGGGCGGAGTCTATAAACAGAGAGGAGCAGAGCAGTTACAGAACGTTCACGGTCTTTGGTGCATCTGGCCATGTAACCCAATGTAAAAATGGTTATGCTCTGGCATTTTTTTATTCCATACCTGCGTTTGAGGGCTTTGCTAAAGTACTGTTGTTGATGTTGTTTGAGGTGGACTTGGAGGTTCCTCTTTGAGGTGGAACAGGAATGCAGTCTTTGACTGGAATGGGTACAACAGGCTCCATCTTCCTAGGCAGTGAACTCCTCTCAGCTAAAGGTGGATCATTTAAAAGTGATGTTTCATATATTTATGAAAAAAAATTGAGAATGGCCTTCAAAACATCTTTAGCAGTGGTAGTTTGATGAAGGTTTAATATTATCATTTTAGTACAAGCAGCTCTACTTATAAGATTTAACAGTAAAGCACAGGTACAGGCACACGGTTTCATAGTACAGTGGGCATAAACTCTTTGATGCAAGACCCAAAATCTGTACATTCAGAGTACCATACACAAAGTGACCTCAGAGGGATATGCATTTTAAAAAAATCAACATGACAGAATAAACTAAAATTAAAAGAAAACCAAAACAGAAAAAGCAGGTTTTTAAGGTTTTCTATCTTAAATGTTTCCCTGGTCTGGATATGATCTGCTGTCTTCCCTTTTCTTTCTTTTTTACATCTCTTTTTAAAAAACTGAAGTCATGAATACAAAAATCTTTGACTGACATTTTTTATACATGATCTTTTTGAGTTCTCTCACCTTCAGTAATTAATAATTTCAGAGTATTGCAGAAAGTATCCTGGCTGGAAGGCTAGAATACACAACTATTAACTAGATTTATGCCTAAATTTGCAGTCTGGACGCTAGTTAATTAAAGTCAATACCAGTCTGCAGATTTTGAGTTTCACAGACAAACTCTGAGAACATTCATACATTCTGCCCATTAATGTCTAGATAACCTGCTGCCTCAAAAAAACATTTGATGTCACTAAACTGTGAAAATCCAGTGATTATTTCATCCTCAAAATTTGTCATTCTAACCTGACAGATTTCACAGTAAATCTAAAAGTGTGTGAGCACAGATGAGCATACTATTCCATCCAGTCAGAGGATATCAAACATGATATTTTGAGGTGATTTTAGTAGACATATTGTAATGTATGATACGACTTATAACAGGCTTAATAACACTTGCATAACACTTAATAACGCCTCAAACCTCTGTCGCAATTTGTACAGGTCATACTGACTGCATCTACACCCAAGAGTTCATCCAAATCCATTTTGATGTTTCTTCCTTTTTTTTCGTCGCTACAACTACTGCAGTCAAATCCTGCACATCCATGTTTGTTTTCTGTCATGCATTTTCTTGCAACTAAGCTTCTGAACGAATTTGTTGTGTTTTGGAGCGATATTAAAGTCTGGTAGTGTGTGATCATCAGTCATTTAGTGTGTGACATCCAGTCTTTCTCTGTAGCCATTTACAAAGTTGGCAAGTGTACAATGTCCAGTGTTTTAGAAACTTTTCAGATTTTAGCAAAAGTCCTGTAGTGTATTCCAGCTTTAAGTAGACTTCAGCACACTGTCAAACATGATACATCAGCCAAAGGATGAATCAGGAAATGAAGCCTATGCCTCTAAGGTAAGAGTTTGAAGGACAAACATACTCTGAGCTGAATATTACAAGGTGTGTGGTAACAAATCAGAGAAATCATGCAGCAGGTGGTCTAACCTTTGACCCGATAGTGGCTGTAACAATGTAAACTGAAGTAAACCAACACCAAAGATTTATATCTGTCAAACTTTCTGCCCGACACTGAGGTCAAATTCTTCCAGGCAGCATTCATTACTGACAAACATATAAAACTGGGTGTTGGTTACCATGGTAAATAAATGATTAGAGTAGTTAATAAATAAGAAATGTGGCTTGATGTTTGTGGAAGCATCCTGTGGAGGGAAAATGAGGTATATTACCTTGCTGTTTGGCCTTCGTCACATGTTGTAAGAAAGACTGAGTGTGCACGTCATCCTGCAGCTCCAGCAGAACCTCTGGCATTTGCTCGCCTCGAAGACGAATCCGTACCGTTGCTGTTGAGGAACAGTGTCACTTTCTCACATCCAAACATCACAGCTGTACATTTTATTATTTTTCAAAAGCATTTTTCTTAAGTTTATTAGTTTAGGCAGTATGCATTAAGAAACCTCCCATAGTATACAAATCTTATTAAAAAAAACAGTGCATATAATCTTTTGCAATTTCATACAGTTTATAAAAAGAAAAATTAAATGGATAAAAGTAGCAATAAGCTGCTTAAGCTGAACGCTGCTACAATACACTGCTTATGGCCAGACAGATATGATTCGACCAAAAATTATGTAACATTTATTTGAAAAATGATGCACTAAAATTATATCCTATGCTGATGTAATAATTCAAAAACACTACATTAATGCTTGGTAAAATGGCCAAGAAGGAAGAAAATATGAAAATAATTTAATTTAAAAAAAGCTGGCTCATTAAAAAAAAACTTACTGTTTATCGAGATGTCAATGAGAAGCGCTTCTTCAGCCTCTAAAAGGGACAAATTTAATTAAGTCAGAGAGAGGTATGTTATACAGGTTTTCAGGGGACTGTACCAGGATATATAAAACATAGCCTGCTGTCTATGGTGACAAATGGTTTTCAAATATTTGATCATGGGAGAGAGATTTTATTATGCAAACACAGTGCTTATTTTCTAAGCCTCACTCACAGAGACCAAAGGTGAGTTTGTACAGGGAGAAAAATATTATAGTGAGAAGAGAGCAAATGTATTTACACTATTACAAATTCATTCTGTAAACTATAAATAGTCATTAGAAACTTACCTCGAACTATCTGAAAATGGTTATTGATGGGGATGGACCGCTGGGGCACTTGGCTTAATACAATTGCTTCAGGGTTTTCCAAAATATCCAACCTAACAACAAGAGACTCATTTATGAAAAGTCATACAAGAGCACATAACTCATCTCATAAGATTGGGTGATAACACCATTTCTGTTCACTTAATAAGTTTAGCATACAGCACACTGGGAATGATACACTACCGTTCAAATGTTTTGGGTCAGTAATATCTTTTTCTTTAAGGAATTAAAATTGATCGAAAGTGACAGTGAATACATTTAAAATGTTACAAAAGATTTCCACTTCAAATAAATGCTGTTCTTGTGAACTTCTGAAATAAATTGTATCACAGTTTCTACAAGAACATTGACAATGTTTTCAACATTGACGATAATAAGAAACGTTTCCTGAGCAGCAAATCATCATATTAGGATGATTTCTGAAGGATCATGTGACACTGACTGGAATAATGATGCTGAAAATTCATAGGAATTATTACATTTCAAACAATAGAAAACAGTTATTTTAAATCACAATAATATTACACAATATCACCGTTTTTACTGTATTTGTGCTCAAATAAATGCAGCCTTGGTGAGCAAAAGAGAATTCTGTCAACAACATGAAAAAATCGTACTGACCCTAAACTTTTAAACGGTAATGTAGCTCTCATATTTCCACACACTATGGTCCAGCATAATCTTATCTCATCAAAAATAAAGCTTCAGAATACAGAGGGCGGAGGGAAGCTTATAGAAATGCAGCAGGCTAAATACATGCAGTGGAGGGCTAATTGCAGACCATATTTCACTCTCTGACAATAACAGTGCCAACCCCAGGGCATCAGGTTCCTCTTATTGTCTTGCCTCCATTTCACTCAATGGGAAATTCAATTACAGTGGATTATTGGAAAAACCTTCAGATTTCCCTGCCTGACTCGCCATGCAAACACATGGAGGCAAGACTAGAACCCCTCTGTGCTGCCAGTGAGCCCGCTCTCTCTCAGTCTCAGAAGACGATAATTGCTGTAATGGATGCTGTTGCCAGGAAACACAGCACTCATGAACAAGGGAAATTTGGCCTAGACTTACTAAGCAATCTCACATTCAATCAATACAAATAATAGCCTAATGTAGTGATGATGGTTATAATCTGCTCATGCCAAAAATATCTCCTTCCTTTCTTAGGTTAAACCATGGCATTAAAGTTCAATTGACAACATAGCTCAAAAATCCACCCCGAAGGTCTGTCAGGCTAAATGAAACATACTGTAATATAGAGCTGGACGAATCTGGATAGTTTGAGAATCACTTTTTTTTTATTTATTTTTTTTTATTAGAGATCACGATTCTCCCACAATTCTGAATAGACAAATAAACAAAACAGTCCATTTAAAAATATATATATATTTAATTAATTTGAATTATTTAATGACTCTCATATAAAGGCTTCACTCGTGTCACTACTGGATGAATTTGCGTTTTTGAATGAATCTCTTTAATGAATGATTCAATGACAAATTTTTAACAGTCATTTGTCGCCACCTACTGGCGTAACAATGATCTTTAATTGAAGCTTCAAGTTTCAAAAGCCGATTTACTCTATTTTGATCGGTATCTGAACTATTCACTTATGCCAGTACTGCTAATAATACTTTGTGGTTAAAATGATTTTTGTGAAGTTCTTTCATACCTATACATGACAACTGCTCTCTCTGTCAGCGGCAGCACGAACACAGATCTGAGTGTTCGCTGGGAACGTACTTGTCAAAGGTTTAATAGACATAGGCGAATCATCATAATTTAAGAATAAGATCACGTAGGCGTTTCGAATTCGCAATCATTTGACGATTCATTCGTGCAGCTTTACTGTAATATACTTTTATAAGCTTGTTATACTTTCAGTGCTTCTTACAAAGATGCTCGAGCATTTCAGGTTAAAGACTGAGTTCATCCAAAAATGTAAACTCAGTCATCATCTACTCACAATCACGGCATTCTAAACCTGTAAGGCTTTCATCTTCAAAACACAAATTAAGATATTTTTAATAAAATCTTTGATATTTCTGTCCCTCCACTGTAGGCCCATTCCACCATAAATTTGACTCTTCAAATTAAAACGTTCATATAGAGATCGTAAAATAACTCCATATGAATATAGCAGTTAAGACTTCTTCTGAAGAGTTACAATCACTTTATAAGATTAATTTTTATTCACATATAAATTGATGAACATATACAGAACTCATTAAACATGATAAATGGAAGTTCAAACATGCTTACTTGCAGCGCGAGAACCAATGACGATTGTTCTTGCGTTACGCACGTATGGTTGGGCTGCCGTTGACCATATTTGATGTGCTCCATGTATGCGCATTGAAATATTTATATGTCAAGTCAAGCTTTATTTTTATAGCACATTTAAAAAAAACAGAAGTTGACCCAAAGTTCTTTACAGATCAAGCAAGAATAAATAAACACATTTAAATACAACATCATACATTCTATCAACTTCAAAACCCCATTTCACGATCTATTTAAAAGCCAAAGAAAACCGATATGTTTTTAAAGAAGACTTAAAAATGGCATATTTAATTCATAAATATGTGAATAAAAGCCTAAATTCATTTCAATTTTGGGTGAACTAACAACAGTGTACCTTGTTCTTTTTGTTAGAAGATTTTTTTCATTACAGAGATTCAACAAATATCATTTGTGACCTCTTTTACCCAGTCAGTACCCGAGCTTTGAGTAAAGCTGAGTGTGTACACTTTTAATGCAGTTAAAGAGTTTGTGTGCTCATGTGAGGCTTATTAGGCTCTAGGACACAGAGGTGGAATGTAGCATAATGGGCAGCATGCTGGCATGCAACGAAAGCCACACTGACTAAACACCATCTGACTGCACAATCTTTCACATAGTCTTCTCACATCTATAGTAACCGGCAACTAGATTCGAATATAATGGACCGTTTTCACTTTTCTGGGGTTCTTGGCTTCTATAGGGATGAATAAGAGACTACAGCAAATATGATTTTTGCACTCCCATTTGCTCCAATAGCAATGATGATAGTGTTTCCATGTCTGTCCAATATTTGATTACGGCGGTCAGAGGACAAAGATGTCAAATTTACAGCCATTGGCGGCCATTCCCACAGCCATTTCACTAGAAACACACTTGCAGCTGTTAACTAGTTGTTGTTTTTTTTTTTTGTAATTTAATGCCAAGGTAATATAACAAAATATAGCGTAATGTAGATTACATTTTTAAAATGAAAATACAAGAAAAAGCTTAAATAATATATAATAATTGTGGGAATGCTTCATCACAGTCAGTAAAAAGGGGGTCCATAACCATGAATTTAACCATGTCTTGTTAAAAAAAAAAAAGAAAATAGCAGCCTGTTAAAAGCCAGCTGCATTCTCAAGATAGATATTCTAGTTTGGTGACTAGCAATTAGATGTCCTTCGTTTGTGGGTTTGGTAACTAATGTCAAAAAGGCTAAAAACGACCACACAATCATCAGTGTAATAACACAAACAGGCAGCAGCAACAAACCACCAGACAGAGATTAAACAGCAGCTCAACGTTCTCAAGCTTTAACATTTTCTTCTCCAACTAACCCTGTTTTACACATAAAAGCGAAGTTTAGTGTGAATAAAGTGGAATGAAAAACTGAGATCGGAGTTTACTCACTTGAACTGTCCAGAACACTGTAACAGGGACAGAAGTCTTGGTTCTTTCTGTCCGCTTCTGAGCTCGTGTCCTCTAACAGTCTGAAAAAAATCACTGTCAAGGATTCAATTGAATAGCAAGAGGCAGAGAAAAGGGGTGGAAAGCGTGACGACTCATGGCTCTCTCCCTCCCTCACACAAGCAAAGAACTTGTTGGACTTTATACAACTTCATTAGGTAACGTTAAGTAATAAAATAATAGGGGGAATCCCTAACATACTACAATATGCGTAAAAATCATAACAAGTGTTATTCTCTTTGTAGCCTACAGCTGCAACATGTCATACCTTACATACACATCATATCATATCAAGAGACATGACAATGTCACACAATGCTGTTCCAAGTTATTCCTAGGAATGTAAGAACAGTGATGGAATGAATGTTTGGATAAACGACACTTCTGTCTGACAGCAGAGAAAAAACAGCAACAAAAAATGACAGCATTTGTATTCTGTTAAGCCTCTTTATTACACTGCCATAACGAAAATAAATGTTATTTTTACCATTACAGCTAGGCTAACAAGACATGGCTAAATGGCTTCAAAAGAGACTACTATTGCTCTTAACAAAATGAAAATGAACAACTGAGCTCCCAAATAAAGGATACGGCCAAACATTGGCTATCTGAAATCCCGAATGAATGCTCCATCGTGAATGTTGTTAAGTGTGTTGAATTAAAGCCGTCAGGCGGCTAGCTAACAGGCTAAACTCAGCAGCGGCGCGCGAGCGAGTGTTTTCTCAGGTCAGGCTCCACCCCTCGCCGCGCGTGACCTAAGTGCTGGACTTCCGGGGTGCTCGCGACACATCGCTCGCTCGGGGAAGAATTTACCCCGTAAAACGGGTTTACAATAACAAACGCCGTTAAATCAATGTTCACTCGCTCATCCAAAAGAGTGCGATTCAGCTTGTGAGCCGGTGTGGAGTCATTGAACTCCGGAGAAAACAACACCTATCGAGTACTTGTGTGTCAAATTTGGATTTAAACAGAGAGAGTGGTCACGGTTGATGAGTAACGTTAGTGATGACAGGTTTGTTGCCGCGTTAATAAACCACTGACATTTCAATTGATGTTCGGGTTTACGTTGACCAAATGACGTCACCGGTCATGAATGAGTTTCGAGGTCATCATCATTGCGCTCTCCCGGACGCAGCAACATCACTGGGTGTGTTGTGCGCTGCTCGGGGACGTTAAAGATACGCAACTTTTTCGCATATTCACTGTAAACACAGTATAGTTCACTGCATTGTTTAAATATTTGCCATTGCAGAGACTTCGTCAAACGCCCTTATTTAAATCAGAGAGTTGTTCCTTCATTAACTATACATGTCAAATAGACCATCAAACGGATATAGGGCTGGTGCATGTCCTTTGGTTGCACAATGTTTTCTTTAGAAGGATAAACAAAATGTTGCAACTTGTAAGTGTATTTCAGCACAACCAGGTTTTAGATACCGGTAATATAAATTCAAACCAAATCACTGGTTGGCTGTGTTTGATAAGTACACTCTAAAAAATGCAGGGTTCTTTCAACCCAAATTTGGGTCAAATATGGACAAACCCAAATGTTGGGTTAAAAATGTAATTAAAAAAATTACAGTTGAAAGTGAAAGTTGAAGTTGGGTTAAAATTTCAAATTACATTTTTAACCCAACATTTGGGATGGTCCATATTTGACCCAAATTTGGGTTAAAACAACCCAGCATTGTTTAGAGTGTAGGCTCTGCAAATGTATTTTATTTTCAATGTGCACAACATCCAAAGAAATCACACCTCCGCTCATTTATTAAACCAGTTCGAATTATACATGACAATGTATACATAAATACAGTCTATTCATAAAACACAACCAGGTGGGCTTGATAAGGATGCCACAGATGTCATTCTTGTTATGCATTTAAGATCCAGACAATATAATCTTATCATTAATGTTAAATAGTATAATTAGTGTTTGTTTTATTAAAGAAAACATTCATCAATCAGATTTGCCGAGAACATCAAGATCAGGCAGAGGAGGTTTTGATTTTGTGCATGGCATAAGGGCTGGAGTTGATATGTGGCCAGATGTCTCCATTTGGCATCTCAGGTTTGTCCTCATCCCTTCTCTCCTCCATCACCACTGTCATTATCATCTCTTGGTTGAACATGTCTGGCGTGCGATACGGGCGCGCAAGGTGGCGAAAAGAAGAACGCAAGGATGCGTCATCATCATCAAAATCATCTATTCGTCCTCTCTGTGACCTGTGGGAGGACTTTAGCTCATCTCCTAGCTCAGACGCCAAGTCTTTCAGATCTCGAATCAGGGTGGATTTGAGACCGAACAAACACAGCAAGAAGAACAGACCAGCACATATACCTGAGACAAAGTATAAAGCCACTGTCTCCGGAAGACCTTGGGAAAATGGAAAAGAGAGGCCGAATTAACATTTAAAATGTAATAAACAATACATTCAACAATGACGAGGAGAAGAGATTAAAAAAGTAATTAGTAAGATACTACCACACTTAGTAAATGAGAAGGCCATAGCTGACTGCTATAGCAAACCACAAAGAAAGATTAATTGTTTTTGCATTGATTTTTTTTTTTTTAAATTACTTTCATGTTACTGGTACATGTACTGTAACATTTATGTTTGTATTTTAAAAAAATGAATAAAACCCCCCACCAAACAAGAAAAGTGAATACTAAGTAAAAATGGCACCAAATCATTTGAACATTTTGGGATCAGGCCACACATCTAACGTACCCTGGATCTGGAAAAAGATTTCCAGAGAGTTGGTGAAAATGTTTTGTGGTCTGGACACACCGGGGCCAGTATACCACCCTCCTGTGAAGGGGGGGAGAGGGGATTGGATCCTGCAGTCAGCAGGACCGTCAACAACCAATGACTGACAGTTATGTTATATGATTCATACGGTTGAGGTCAAAATGTTACATATACCTTGAAAAAATCAGCAAAATGTTAATAATTTTAACAAAATAAGGATAATAAAAATGTTTGCTGCTGAATTTATACAAATGACGGTTAATGCATCTTGTTGCCTTCTTTAGCATGTGTTTTCAGTTTTCACCTTTTGCAATAGTTGTTTATGAATCCCTAGTGTGAAAAGATGGATCTCAAAATCATACAGTCACTGGAAAGGATTCAAATATGCAGAAGATGCTGGAAAACAAAAAAATGTGCAGAACCTGGATGATTTCTCTGAAAAACACGGTTTAACTGCCTCAGGATGAAAAAGGGACTTATGAACAGCCATCACAAACAAAAATACAGTCATGGATCATCCAGGCAACGACACACAGCATTAAAATTTTTTTTTTATTTTATTGAAATTTTTATGATCCCTCTTATTTTGTTAAAATTATTAACATTTTGCTGATTCTGCAAGGTACATGTGAACTTCTGACCACAATTGTATATCTCTCCTGTCATATTTTCATTTGCAATACTAACACATGGAATAAGTCGCAGTTATTATGTTAAAATCATCTTTTTAATACAAGCCAGTTTAATAAAATGAAAATTAGCTTAGCAATGATCATTTACACCATTTACATCCTTTTTCTTACCGTGCGTATAGTCAGAGAGCAAGAAAGGATCTGTGTTTCCACGTCCAACATCTTCCAGTAGATACCGTGGTACTTAAATGCACAACAACAAAGAAAGTCTTTCTATGACTGTTTCAACAGAGAATAATGTGATCACAGTTTTTCGAAACCTCTTGAAACTCACCGCAGGTGAAGGAAACTCGCAAATGCTTTCTGGTGCCAGGAAAACAGGGGTCTCCAAAACCCTGAGCATCAGCCAACACGGAGCAGTTCGTCCTGCCATGACACTTCCTTGACACCCTCCTCAAGGCTGACGGAGACAAGCACTCTAACAGGAAACATAATCTAATCAAATGAATGACCATCTCATCTCAATGACCATTGAACACATATTTTACTGCCTCTTCTATTGCAGCAAAACATTCCCACTAGATGGAAGAAGTGTGTTATTTTATTCTCAGACCTATGTCCGTTTTTGTTTTAGCCTCTTGAGGGCACTCAAGACTGTCATGCTCCAAGTGGCCAAACGTGGCTGAATAGATGGCCAGAACCGTGTCATTCTTACAGGCCAGCTTCAGCCGCTCATTCTCACACACTGTTCTCGAGCGATGATGCTCTGCGGAGAAGGAAAATCAGTGATGTGCTGCTCGGTTACAATCTCGCTAAAGTGAAGCACAATATACAGTAGGCGTCTCACCGGGCTTGCACTTGTAGGAGACAATGATGTATTTGCTGGTTTCAGGGCAGGGATCTTGACCAAACACAGGACTCACCACAGGAATCTGACACTCCCATCGATCCTGGCACTCAGACATCACTTTCTGACCATGAAATTCATTATCAATCATTATGAGTTTTATACTGGAGATTTTTGCCTCTAGAATTAAAGAATGAGTAAATGCAGATCAATGATACCTGAATGGCTGTGGTTGATATACAGTCAGTGTTTTCCTCTGTTATGTTTGGGTTTGCGTGTGGGCATAGATATGGACTCGGGACACGGCGTCCATAAAACGCTGAGAGGACAGCCACAGATGTTCTAGAAGGGCATCTGATGGACAGTGTCTCTCCATCACAGGCATGGGCAGTGTGGTTCTTCAGGATCCTGTGGAGGTAATCTAAGGGGAAAAATAGACTGATATACGCAGCAGCTTTTAAAGTGGTCTAAACATAAGTTGAGCAACACTGCTGCTGAGTAAAGGCACTGCTCAGCATACAAACAAGGCATTGAAAATGCATTTAGAGAACCCACTACACAACAGCATTGTTGACCACAATTGTACACTTATAGTGTAAATCGAGCAATGTGACAAACCAACTCCCGCACTTATCCTTTCTTGCAAATGTGGTTGACATTATGATGTCTTCTCAGGTACAGTTATACATTAACAGAGATTTCCAACTGGTGGGTCTGAACCCAGGACAGGAAAATAAAATAAAATGAAATCATAATCATTTTGACCTTGGTGTGTCTATGCAGTTATTAATAAAAGTGTATTAATAATAAACGTATGAATGTTTCTTATTCATTATTAATAAACATAATGTTTTTTATGGGGCTGGATGGTAATTAATTAAATAAATAAAATAAAATAGTTTCTTGATAGGCCAAGTATTATTAATATATTTCAGTGTTTTAAGTGTTTTAATATATTTTCAGCGTTTTTTATAAAATAAAAAATAAAATTCTTTTGGTGATTCTAAAAAAGATCTATAGACAATCATAAATCAACTTTATCAATGAAAAAGTAAATTAAATTTAAATTTCAAGTTAAGTTGCTATTGATTTATTGTTTCTTTTGAAAATTGTATATTTCAAATACTGCAGTGAAAGAGAGAGGCAGAGGTCAGGGACAGCCATGTATTCAGAGGAAATGACCCCTGAAAGATTTGAAAGCTTTCTGCACTGCAGATTTGAGATTTAAATGTTATTAAGTGGACAACATAAACGAGGGACACTGCAGAACATTTTTCTCTTTCTTATCCTCCACTTTTCCACACAGCTCAGGTTTCAAGCTTGTTATGTCTTTATTGGACCATATCCATGAGTATTCATTGAAGGAACTGGATCAAGGGTAATGTCTGGCTTGTACCTCTCTCTGTCTCTCATGGGTTAGGCCATTCTGTAGAGCCCTCTGTTATGCAGTGGCAGGCACAGACACACTCACAAATAAACACAATGAGCTATTCTTGGCTGATTATCACTCTTGAAGCCATTATGTATTGTATAGGGGGGACTTGGGGGAGACACAGAAACACAATCAGAAACAATTAAATCAAGAAGCCAACATGTGTCACTGAAATGTAATCAACGACTTTTTACATACAACATATAAACACTGCTGTTGGATTAGTGTATTTGAGTGTATTTTAGTGTATATTGCCCATAACATTATACACTTTGTCAACCAGCTTCACCACAAAATGTTTGTCTTTGGTTCAGAATGGGTTGATGTTGCCTTGCCTTCCTATATGGATTGTGCTCAAACAATAGAAGAGGAAGGGACACCCATCTCTCTGATGCTGATGCTCTACAGATTATTGACAAGGACTATGTAAAAGACAAAATACGTAATGTCCTCTTTCCTTTGAGAGCTACGCTCTAAGACAGCATGCAGTATTTCCTCTATCGCAGCCACGAAATCCGAGAAAAACACTTACCAGAGAAATCTGGAGCTGATGAGGATTGCCCTGTGTTGACAGGACGAATGAGAGGAAACACCAGGACCAACAAGAGCTCCATAGAGACATAGTGCACAACGCACATTACGAACCGCTGTGATTTTTAACTTGGAGAAGTTGTTTGGCTGTTTACTGCCCTCTGACTTCTGACCAGGAGAAAAGGGTCAATGGTGGCATTGTGCTGAGCGGAGAACAAGCGCTCTTTCAACAGCACTGACACTGACACACATTTGTCTCATCGCACTGTTTAGACGGTTTTCATGCTTGTTTTCAATTTTATTTATCAAAAGGGCTTTTTGAGGTGACAAGGTTCACACATCTGTTTAATAATAGCCACCCTGATGATAATAAATGTAGTTTCTAGTCAAATCTTTTTAAAGTAAAAACAAGTTAAATCAACCTGATAGTTTATATTGTTCATACATCTATCTAAATGTATTAATGCACAAAAGCTTTGTATTTCGAATAAATGTTCTTTTGAACTAATCCTGGAAAAAAAATCATCATGCTTTACACTAAATTATTAATCAGCCAAACTATTTTCAACATTGATAATAATAATATTAATATTAATAATAAAACATTTCTGGGGAGTGGAGTAATGGCTGTACAATTTTTGTTTTCTTGAGTTGATCTTGTTTTAAGGATGTTTATATATTTTTTACTGGAAAACAAGATAAATACTGAAGAAAACTTTAAAGAGCATGCATTAAATCAGATTTCTCTCCATTTCTCTTCAGTAAGAAAAACCTCAAAACAAGAAATAGTCTTTGCTGAGCTTGACGGTTTTGTTTCCTTTGCTTTGTATTTATGTATAAACGACAGAACTGGGTCCTCATGATCAACATTGGGGTCCTGTTTAGGGAGATAAAGCAAGGATTTTCCAAGCTGTGTGTTCCCAGCTGCTGGATGTCCTGTAGATAGCCTATCATCTCAGGATAAGTGCTTCCTCTCTCAGCCTGAGGAAGAGAGAGGTCAGTGGTTAGTGAGCGCATCACATTTCTCTCTATTCCAGAAATACTATAGGAGAAGTAACTCTGTTGCCACTAAACACATAGCTGGTAAATATGAGTTGTCAGTCTGCTATCTCTATAAGGACAGTATATTTTCTGAACATGCAATGAGTATTGAGCAGAGGTCAGAAAACATGTAGGACTATTTATATGGTGCATGTTAGCTTTCTCAGCACTTTGTCAATATAATCACCCTCCCCAAGTTTAAGAACCACAACCCCCACATATGAGATCGGTCTAGTGCCTGAGAGGAATGTTTGTGATTTAAATTGGAGCTGTGTTGAGTATGGAGACAAATGCTGTACAATAATGTGCTGAGTCTGACCGGCTTTGACATGTTTGCTTATTAGTGATTGCAGCGGTGGCATCAGATTAGAGGCTTACAATTTTGCGTCGTTACAGCTCATCATCTCCATGGTGATTTCTTGTTTGGTGGTATATTCCATGTGGTGGCGCAGTACTGTATGTTAACGGGAAAGAGAAGCATGGACTGAAACAGCTCAGATCTGTTACTCATAGTATCCTGTTGGCTTCAGGAGGAGGGAGTACACTGTGTAAACTGGCATGGCTGATGGCACATTTCCTGTGCTAGCCGAAGTGGAACTTGCTTAATTTCCAGGATTTGTAAGGAGTTTCCATGTCAGGCTCTTGCTTTGTATATACAGTATAATCACCAGTCTTTTATACTTAAAGGGATAGTTTACCCCAAAATAAACATTTTGTCATCATTTACTCTCATGTCATTGAAAACCTTTTCTGCTTATATGGAACACTAATGAAGATATTTAGTAAAGTAAATTAAATTATAGAGACCATGGGCTGACCATCTCCACCATTACAATTTGCTTTACTATATTAATGTACATTACAAAAAAATAATGCTTTAAAAATCTTGACAGACATGGTGATTCACTATCACGGCTTGAACATTCTGCTAAGAAAGTAAGTCATACAGGTTTCAGACAAACATGAGGGTAAATGATGAAGGAATTTTCATTTTTAGATGAACGGTCTACAACCACTTTTAAAAGTCTTTGTGAGGAAAGAAGAAAGCAATTCCTTGCTTTCTTTGGTTTCTTTTTCATATGATATGTCTGCTTTTTGCTGTAATATTGTTTCAAACTAGTGTGAATTCCCCAGAATTATGCAATAAACCCCCTCAATACAACATCTGTCTGCTGAATGAGGAAATGAAACTCCTTAGGGGTTGGAAAACAATTATGTAAGAATGGCATTCTGTCATTAAAATGTCTGTTTTATGGAGCTGGTGTACGAGATGAATTTTAGTATAAGTTTGTGTTGTATGCTGTAAGTTGTTCTAAGAGTCTTTCCAGGTTAATATGCTCAATTACAATAAGGGGAAGCCATAGATGACGGAATTGTTTCCTTTGACTCAACATGACTGCATAGGGAATGAGGGGAACTATTTGTTTAAAGAGAACCCATCCCTTGAGAATGATCACATACCCACACCCTCATTTGTCTACTCACACACACACACACACACACACACACACACACACACACACACACACACACACACACACACACACACACACACACACACACACACACACACACACAGTGTATCTTAGCAATATACTTCTAATGTTTTATATGCACTATAACCCTTACACACTACCCCATACTCATACCAGAAAACTGTATTTTAGATTTTAAAAAACAAAGCATCATTTACCTGATTTATGAATCATTATTCCAATCGAGGAAATCCCTAAACGTCCCCCAAGGGATTTAGCTCATTTTTTGGGGTTGAAAAACACACAAAACCCACATGGGATTTGCTTTCTGCTGTGCCTCAACTAATATCGAAAGTGATATTAGGTTGTTTTTGGAAGGTTTTGGCAGGGGTTACTGGAAGTTAGAAAACTTCCAAAAATGATAATATGAAAGAGCAGAATGAGTCAGAATTCCAAATGACCACTAGAAAAAAAAAAAGACTGAAACAGAGAAGAGCAAGTACCTTCACTCTGTTGTCTGACATGCAAGAGTTAAATATCTTCTTTTAAAATAAGTGGATTAGTTCATGTATAGTAAACAGCCTCTCCATTACACAGCTGAAAGGGGCACATAGTGATTGAACATATGGGAGAGGAGAATGTTAGTAAGAGGTAGAAGTGTTAATAGTCTGCATGAATGGAATGTGGCCCCTGCTTCATGTCTGCGATAACCCGGTGACGTTTCTCCTGAGTGTAAGTGCGTGCTGGATAAAATGAAAAGCTATTTTTGAGCTCTCTGACACAGCCTGGCAGCACAGTTATATAGTTAGGGTCACGCCCATCCTCTCTAGCCTCCCTCCCTCCTGACTTTTAAAGTGTGTACACGGAGGGAGAAACCAGAAAGCAAGAGTCTGACTAACTTTCATCTCCGAACACTTGCACACATTACAGCCGTGTACAAATCTTTGGGGGGAACTTCTATTGTCTGGTTGGTTTGTGGAATAATTTTCACAGAGGTCTGGAATTATTAAAGTCTTTTTCCCGCAGGAAAGAAATGGCACTCAGACAAGACTCAGATAAAGAACCACGAATTGAGCTCTTCATAAAGGTCAGTTGTTCAACATTTACAAATTTGAGTTGGTCAGATACTCTTATTCCAAATTAAACATTTTAATTCATATAAAGTAACTACATTTTCAGGTGTAGGATCAAATAATATTAAATATAAGATTAATTTAAATAGAAAAATAAATAGTTTAAATAAGCTAATAAACACTAATCTGAATATTGATCAAGTTCAACATTATGTAATCCTTACTGTTGGAATAGAGATGTTAAACTCAATTATTTTAGCATTTGATCGAATTGTTGTAGTTAATAATATAGTTTATGATGCACCGTTTGCCTCTTATTTTCCAGTGTATGTATTTTTCAGACGAGATATTCTACTTCACATCCTGAAAAAATAATAAAAGGCTTGATGCGTTGCTATACATGAGCCTGTTGCCATAAGTTATTTTGTTGAATAGTACTCTGTAAAGACACCATGAACCAAGATCTTCCAGTGCTCTATCAGTGCTTTTTGTCCATTTGGGCACCATGAATCAGAGGTTGATTTGGGCGTTTACAGTCAATTCAGTTACATTATGCAATACTGTAGACTGGATAGTTGATATGCAACTGTTCGCCTTTACGCTTCTCTTTATCAGAACAGACGCACAGACAGCATTGGGATCATCTTATCACCACACATGCACATGCACAGCACTGAAAGACTGACAGCTCTTGGATCCCTGTCGTCACACCCGTAAACACGCTTACGTTTCCTATAGATTCCATTACTTTGACATTGCCGATGTAATGCCTTACCAGTTGAACTACTACAGTTCATTAAAGGTGCTCTAAGTGATGTCACGCATTTTTTAGGCCAAATTGTTTTTGTCACATACAGCAAATATCTTCTCACTATCCGCTAGCTGCCTGTCCCCTGAACACACTGTAAAAGAACGCGGTCTCTGTAGACACCACAGGCTCCACAAACGCCAACAAAAACAAACTGGGCCAACCCGCATCACGAAACATAACAAACAGTGTTCCAGCCAATATCCGACAAGAATGATTTGGGGGGGTTAGTGCGTGTACTCATGAAGGGGGGTGTGGAGGAGAGAGAAGCATGAAGAGGGAAGTTAGAATTATATTTTCTTTAAGTTTGATATGGCCGACACACGACCAAAGAGACAAATTGCAAAGAAGAGGGAAAAGGATAAGGAACGCGCGAAGTCCCGAAAAGCCTTCGAAAGGTGGCAAGAACTCCGCCGGCAGAAGGGCTTCCGATCCGACATTCAGGTAGCTCTGTTTTTGCTGGACAGGTGGGTAAATCCATTTTTTTGTTTTTCTAAATGGACATTCATGTTCACCTAACCAACACAAGGGAGGGGGAGGGGACGGGAGGAGGGAGGGTCTAGCTAGCCTCCGTTTTGTTTGACAATACTTCGAACGTCAACAAGAAGTGACGACACCCAACATCGCTTAGAGAACCTTTAACTAAATGAGTAGAAGACCTTTAGATCCTAAAGATAATCAAAGCTTTGTAGAAAGTCACCATTTATTACAGAAGTTATGTAGGCCTATATAGTGCAGCTGTTTGTGTGATTATTTAAAAAGATGCGTATTATGGACGGTAGAAGCATTGTTCAGGTCTGTTATCTCCCTCTTCTAGACAATTCCTGCTTTTCCTCTCTTTGGATCAAGCTTTTGAATTGTCCTCCCACACCTACACAACACATGGACTATTTATGTCCTATTCTTTTTAAAGGGAGGGACACATTTATTTAAAAATAAAAGCTATCCATCAACATTTATAATAATAGACCGCTGGGGATCTGAGAGACCCCAAACATGTTTAAATATTTTAAGAACATTGCTATGTTTACGTACACCTAAGAAAATGGTTTATTCAGGGGGGATTTTGTGCACAAAGTAGCATTCTGAAACATCATGTAAACACAAGCGTTGTTTACTTATGCTACTTTCATGACCCCATTTTTTTCACAGGTGTTTTACCTGTATTTTGAATGACTTGTTGCATTGTGTTGTGTTTTAGGGTTGAAGGAAATGTCTGTAAACTTAATGGATAATGTCCTGGCAGAAAATTATCAGTCCTTTTTTTTTTTTTTTTTTTTACAGAATTGAGATAAAACGGTTTTACCTGGATACCTGGATTTCTGTCATGTAAAAGCATAAGAGACATTCTTACATACAATTCTTAGTGAAATTTGAAGAGGTAGTATAGACATGTTAAATTCTGTTCTTTGAACTTGAAGTCATTATATAAGAATGGTTTCTTCTTTTACTGTATTTTTTATCAAACAGATGCGATCTTGGTGAGCATAAGAGACTTCTCTTAAAAACATAAAAAGTTCTTAGTGATCACAAACTTTTGTGCGCTATAGTGTACAGTATTTTAGAGAGTAGTAACAAATGGCAATGCCATTTGTGTCCTACGCAGCTTTCTAGCAATAACCAGTGTGCATGTAAACATAATGATTAAAATAGCAGGTTCCTGAAACTTCACACTTTAGTTTTCTCAGTGTTATCTTATGATATAACCGATGGGTTGAACCTTAAAGTAATTTCTGCTTCTACTGGGTTTTGATTAAGAGGATAGTTCACCAAAAAATTGACATTCTGTCATCATACTCATCCTTATGTCGTTCCTGACTTTTTTTCCTTCTGCAGAATACTAGGGTCCAAACTGTCAGTTTATGGACAAAAAAACAAACAAACAAAATACTGACTCATCCTTCAAATATATTTTATGTTCAACAGAAGCTAAGGTCATACAGGTTTGGAACATGAGGGTGAATTTATAATGACAGACTTCATTTTTGGGTGACCTATCCTTTGAAGTCAGAAAAGAACTGAAAGACAAAATAAATGTTAAATTCAAATGTATTATTAATATTTTATACATACAGGGTCTCTGCCGGGACACGAAACAGAAAAAACAGTCCAGTCAATTTTAACAAAACATGAGGGTTAAGGAAATCTATAATGTGTGTTTCTCGGTCTATAGGCTATATATGTAACCTTGTGTCTGGTCTGTGAAACTTTAATACTGACCATGGATTTCTCTTTTTTTGTCTCAAGGCGGGTCATGATGGAGAGAATGTGGGGAACTGTCCCTTCTGCCAGAGACTCTTCATGGTTCTTTGGCTGAAAGGAGTCAAGTTCACAGTAACCACCGTTGACATGAGGAAGTAAGCGTCACTTTAAAGCTTTCATTTCACTGAAACAGTAATGCGTAATGGGATGCACTACTGCCTCAGATGCGACCGTTCTAATGACGGGGATACAATTATTTTGCATGTCACATTATGAGGTAAATCCGGCTCTCGGTAAGGCTATCAGCTGGAATGGAATTCAGTAAACAAATAGCGAAATCTGAGGAATTCTGGACTAGCATGGACTAGATGTGATAACACCGGGGGCGGTCAAAGTACAGCAGGTGTACTACAAACAGGATGAAGGGAGTGTGAACTTTCCCATTGCCATGTTCCCATCTAGGCCTAATTCTTCTAAACTAAAGCAAATGCAACTTTCATGTACTTAGCAGCTGAACACTCCTATATCCGTGTGCTTTGAGTGCTAAATGAGTTTAATACTATTTTAAAGAAGCATTAATCACTTTAGGTGCCCAATTCAAAGACTCTCCGTAAACAATAAATGACTTCATATTGACCATGTCCGCACCCTGTGGTTTACACTCCCTCTGCTCTGCTCCACCCTGTGTTGTTTAGGAAGCCAGAAGAGCTGAAGGATTTAGCTCCAGGTACAAACCCGCCATTCCTCCTGTACAATGGCACGCTGAAGACTGACTTCATAAAGATCGAAGAGTTCCTGGAGACCACACTCGCCCCTCCTCGGTATTGTGCTTGTCTGTGAGCTCATGTAATGCTATATCAAACTTTGGCTTCACACTGACAAAGACCTTTCACAATGAGACATTATTCTAGTGTTGTTCTGTCATACTGTAAGTCGCATGGCTGCACTCATTCAAGTAATATCTGACACACTGACATTGCTGTGACATTGAAATCATCAATTTCAAAGACTCTCCTCCCGGAGTCCCTGTACTTCAGAATAGTTCTTGCTGATCTTTTTAAATTTGTCTTGACTGTTCCAAAGAAGCGTGCATTAAAATGATCAAAAGTGATAGTGAAGACATTTATAATGTTACAAAGGATGCTGTTCTTTCGAACTTTCTAAGAATTCTGAAAAAAACTATTATCAGGAATTCCACAAAAATATTATGCTGCAAATCAGCATACCGGTATAATGATTTCTGAAGGATCATGTGACACTGAAGACTGGCATAATGGTTGATGAAAATTCAGCTTTGCCATCACAGGAATAAATAACCTTTTAAAATATGATTTTACGGTATTTTTTATCAAACAAATGCAGCCTTGGTGAGCATAAGACTTATTTTTGCCCCCACACAGTAGTGTATATATGACAGACTATGTGTGACATTTTTAAAAAGGAAAGACATACCTATTTAACATGCATTATATGGATGAGCTTAAGTGTTTTTTGAGTGTCAGTATTATTATGTGAATGATGGATGTCTATCTTTTAGGTTTGTAATGATTTGCTTTAAATATTTCCCTCTGTCTTATCCTATCAGCTATCCTCATCTCAGCCCCCGCTACAAAGAGTCATTTGATGTTGGTGCTGACATTTTTGCCAAGTTTTCTGCGTTTATCAAGAACAGCCCAAACAATTCCTGTAAGTTACAATATACCTATATAAAATTGTATATTAAAACCAGCATGATTGTGTGATACTGAAAGATTCACAAGAAATTAGAAATAGCCTACTTACATTTTAGACACGATGTTGCGCAAATACTTCCAAAAAGCAGAATTGTTGCATTGACTCATTCATAACAAGATTCGCTTGTGTCGTTTCTAAATGAATCAGAATTTTTAAACGAATCGGTTGAATGAACGAATGGATTAGTGACTCGTAAATACAATAATTTGTACCACCTACTGGTGTAACGATGTAACCTACAGAAAGAGTCCATGAAAATACCTAATGGAAAATACACACTACTGACTGGAAGCGGAGTGATACAAGCAGTTTTTTTTTCAGTCATGATCAGTAGTTATGATTTTTTTGAAACAACATAGGCCTGTTGACTTAATCAGATTAATGCATTGACACTTAACGTAGCTACATAATAGAACAACAGAATATGACCATTTTCTAATTTATATCTGAATATAAATATAAATAAATATGAATATATCGGAATATTTCTCTATTATTTGATTCCTCAGTCCATGAAAAAGCCTTATTGAGGGAGTTCAAGCGTCTGGATGACTATCTGAACACTCCACTTCAGGACGAGCTCGATCAAAACATCAGCGTATCCAAAAGAAAGTTCCTTGATGGCAACCGCTTGACACTGGCAGACTGCAACTTGCTACCAAAACTGCACGTCATCAAGGTGATACCTAGTGTTAAACTGTGGTTTACAGACACACACATACACAGGCCTATAAAACTGTTGAATTTGAAATGTGGTTTTCTTTTTGGTTTTGTAGGTTGCTTCCAGGAAGTACTGTAGTTTTGAGATTCCTGCTCAGTTCACTGGAGTGTGGCGTTACCTGCAGAATGCATGTGAGAGAGAAGAGTTCAGCCAGACCTGTCCAGCTGACATTGAAATTGAGAAAACCTATCTGAGTGTGGCCAAGAGGAACTGAACTTCAGATTATTGAGGACATATGGGGTTAAATGTTTAAATAGTGTAAATATTTTAACATTTCAGTTTATAAGTTTATAGGCATCTACATAGTTCACAGTCATAAATATATTACAGCAAACACAAAAGGCACACTGGCTGAACACAGTTTGCTTATGCACTTTCATTGTGCCTGTGATCTCAGAGCCCATTGGATTTACTAGCATACTTTTGAGTGACTGTTACTGTCAAACAGGCTTTATTCTGGTAGTTTTAGAAGTTATAGGATCTTTTGCAAGCGATCTTGAGCACAACCGGCGAGTTGTGCTTTTAACAGCATGTAATGTTTTTGTGCATAATGTATATATGTATTTTACATTCATTAAGGCATATTCAGTTTTATGTAATGTATATATTTTAATCATCTGTAAGAATGAGTTGAAAACACAAATGTGCAGTCAAATCATGTGCAGTAGTACATGAGTCACTGAGTATTGCGTCAGTAATGGTTGTTTTGTATTAAAGGTTATTGTGGCAGATGTACTGAGTGGCGCAAACACCATTGTTAGACATCACGGTTGTTTAAAAAAGAGATTAAACTGCTTTCTTTCAGATTTTACTTCAAATAAAATTAATATCATACATATCACCACTTTGTCTTTCTCTTTTCGTGTGAATGTCAAAGCATATCCAGAGCTTTGGTAAAAGATGGTGATGACTGGATTGAAAAACAAAACAAAAATACACAAATATTACAACTGATCAGTTTTTACCTAGACTATATTTATTTTACAGTTGCAGTTCTAGGTCAGTTTTCATTTATGATACAAAATACATTCATATTCCTGTTAGATTACTTTATATATCTATATATAAATATAAAACAATATTCACAATGTCAAAGGGCAGCTGAATGGATATTTTATGGGGGGAAACAAAGGCATACATTTTAAGTGTTTGTACATGAAGGGATGTTAGGCTGGTCCTCTGTCCATCTCAGCCGATTCATTCCTAGTTTGTAACACAATATTTCCAAAAACAGGCTGCAAAGGGAAGGACAAAAAACTTTGATTAGTAATATAATAATGACATAAAGCCGTGTCATCCTTGACATGTTCTTTAAAATGAATAAAATCAGCATTACATAATTGTTTTAAATTTTTCTAAAACCTTTGTTTTTTGACATTGAAAGTGTTTTGAGTATATTTATACACACTACTATACATATGTATATATAATCTGCACTACATATATATAAAAACCTCACCTCTCTTATTGTTTTTGGGCAAGTTTTGCTCAGATCGTAGATAGCCTTGAGAACGCAGGTTATCAGCTGCTGCTAGTTTTAAAACAACTGCTTTTAAGTCATCCACCTAAAGACACAGACCAGACATACTGATTCAGTATCACACAAGAAAGAAAGAAAGAAAGAAAGAAAGAAAGAAAAAAAGAAAGAAAGAAAGAAAGAAAGAAAGAAAGAAAGAAAGAAAGAAAGAAAGAAAGAAAGAAAGAAAGAAAGAAAGAATTGTAAATTCATTACAAAGAGAAGGATCATACCATGTTATTCATTTTCTCTTGCTGCAAAATGTCTTTTGTACCTAGAAAGACAGAAAAAGTGAAAACGGTATCCTTTCTAATAACATGTTATCTAAATAACAAGTGTCGAAGAGTCCCTGTCTCACCTCTCTGGATCAGGACAGGGAGGACAGTTTTGATGTCCCTTTGCTCTGTTAAATCATTGCTTTGTCTCTCCTCGACCTCTGCCACCAGTTTCTGAATCAGTTCTGCAAGCCAAAATGTCATATTTTGGTAATCATTTAAAATTATTTACAAAAAAAAAGAAAGAAAAAAAGATTGAATTTCCTCAATTGTCCAAAACCAGATGTCCCTTCTGTTTCAAGTTAAATGATTTTTAAAAGTTGTAGTGGAAAGATTAAATTGTCATAATAAGATCAAGCTCATGGGTGTTTATAAAATGTTCCCTTTACTGCCTTTCAACACTTCCTTTTTAACATTCACATTGGAAGCAGAAGAGACATTAAGCACTCAGCGCTGTCTAATAAATGTACAGTCACAGTTACTCCACATGAGCTTCATCATACATTTAGCTGGATGTCCAGCCTTAACAAACATCATGAGCTTGCCAACTTATCAAAAGCACAGAGTTGATCTCACCTTCCTGCTGTGGCAGTGCTGTGTCTGAATACAGAGGAAGAGCATGAGTTCTCCGCGCAGAGCAAACCACAGCCAGAATGTAGAGCAGTGCCAGTGACAACATGTTGAGAGGATCAAGGGGGAACTTCAGTCTTCAGTGCTCTTGCCCCAGCCGGCATGTTCAGTTTTATATCATCCGAGGCCATCTATCCTGAAGGGATCAATACTGCTCATGTCACCCCATCCCAGTGTTAATGGTTTTGACGTGATGTCCTCTCGTCATAGACACAATTAAGAGTGTGCTGTCAATTCAGACAGAGCCTATCTCTGCTTGCACAGAGAGCCCTAACAAATGTTTACTCTTCATACCCATCAGTGACTGCTCTGACGCCTCAGATTCTTTATGTCTCATACCTGACAATGCATGACGCATTTTACACATTTCTTAATATTTTTAATCTGTAATTTGCTCGGATGTGTCATTGGTCACGCTTTATATTAGGTGTCTTATATAAAAATAGTAATAATTAATTGTAAGGTACAATAATTATTGTGTTCATGTATTGCAATACACTTTTGCTGCTATCGAGGTGGGATAGGCTACGGGTAAGGTTAGGGACAGGTTTGGTTAAAGTTATAGGTTAAAGTGTGGGTTACGGCGTGAGGGAAGGGTCAACCGTAATTACATGCAGGAATTTAAAAAAATATAAATACAATGTAAAAACATGTGTGTACACAACAAGTGCATGGTATCAATTGATTCATTTAAATGTTAGCATATCTAGCTAAAGACACTTAATATAAAGTAGGACTGAAGCATTTGTTTATTTTTGAGATAATTCTGTTCTCAGTGACATCAAAGTTAGATACTGTCACATTCAATCCTTGTTACACATTCAAAGCAATCCATGAATAGTCTCTTACGCACCAGATGACGTGTGTCCTGGGATATTGCTATTGGTTTCTCTTTTGCTGTATTTATCAAAGTGAAAGGTATATAATATGACACAAAGGTTTGGTGCCAAATGAACAAACAGCGTAGTGCGGTGATGGATTGTGTCGTCTCTGAGTTTCTGAAATTGCAGGTGAAAGTGTTAAACCGTAACATCTCTCATCTTCAACAGTGTCCAAAAACAGAAAGAAACAAAACAACAAGAACATAATAAAGAACAATTGTTTGTGTGTGTGTGTGTGTGTGTGTGTGTGTGTGTAAACCTGAATGCACACAGACTCATGGGGACTCGTGTCACTGTGGGGACCTAAATTGAGGTCCCCATGGGTAAACACGATTATAAATCATACAGAGTCAATTTTTTTTTTTTGAAAATGTAAAAATGCAGAATGTTTCCTGTGATGGGTAGGTTTAGGGGTAGGGGCAGAGTGTAAGGGGATAGAATATACAGTTTGTACAGTATAAAAACCATTACGTCGAGTCCTCACAAAGATAGTAGCTAAACCAGACGTGTGTGTGTGTGTGTGTGTGTGTGTGTGTGTGTGTGTGTGTGTGTGTGTGTGTGTGTGTGTGTGTGTGTGTGCATATCTTGTGAGTGATTAGAAGATTCTACACTTTATTGGCTTTTCATTAGTAATACTGTAAGAATCATGGTACATACTTCTGGGAATTACTAATTATTTGGATCCGTATTCTAAAGTGAAGATCATGGGAACTAACGAATAATGACTCAAGTGTTACTACATACTTCTAAAGAAATTTCCTAAAAGTATAGGCCTACTATTTAACCCTCTGGTCTGGGGTTGTTCGTTTAACAGTCACACTTGGGGTGTTCGGGTCCAAATGGACCCAACGGGCAGGATTAATATTTTTTAAAAAAAAATCATAATTTTTTTTTTTACTTGTTTTTTATAATTTTTTTCTTTTCTTTTTTGGTGTTTTGAGATATTTTATGATTTATAATTAATATTTATGCAATAATTATGACCCATTTTTTCCCATTGAACATAACAGATTTTTTTTATTTTTTTTATTATTATTATTTTTTATCAAAGCTGTATTACATTTTAGAGTGAAGCCTAGGCCTCATGAAAGCATTTTTTGAAAAAATATAGATGCCATCTGGTGGACACACTGAGCATTTTTATCACGCAATAGCACATTTTTACCACTAGTGGATTTACAGCTCTCTGTAGAAAGGCTTGGGGATTCTAGTGATTTTTGCAAATACCGGTATATACCAATTTTTTTTCAGGTTGTTGATTTTTAAAATATAATAACAGATTCTCAAAGACTATTTTGTCTTGTTTTTTGTTTGTTTGGTTGGTTTTAATGGTAATTTGAAGTGCCAGTTTTACTTTATAATACAGATTATTATAAATATATAATACAGTGTGTGTGTGTGTGTGTGTGTGTGTGTGTGTGTGTGTGTGTGTGTGTGTGTGTGTGTGTGTGTGTGTGTGTGTGTGTGTGTGCGTGTCTGTTTTGCACTCCTGATGTTTTAGAGATTCACCCCTTCACCGTTGAGTAATTTTTTCTGCATTCTGGCTGATTTGTATATTGTATGCACAAAAAAACTGTTTTCATATTTTTGACAATTTCCCATTCATTTCCAATGGGGGTCATTTGGACCCGAAGGTCCTAAGTGTGAGTATTTGTATTATTTTTTTTACAACCACTTAGACTATTCAAATAGACTATTCTATTTGAATAGTCTGTGTTTTCATATTGAATAATCTGTGTTTTCACATTTTTGACAATTTCACATTCATTTCCTATGGGGGTCCATTTGAACCCGAAGGTCCTGAGTTTGACTATTTTTTTTACAACCATTTAGACTATTCAGATCCTGTCCCCAATTTTTTTGTGTGTTCACATACCAATTACCCTAAAAGTCACCTAGTTTCGTAACATTCTGATTAAGCTGTGATTTTTAAAAATTCAAAACAGATTTATGTAATCTGAATTTATGTGTGTATGTGTATAAAAGTGTGTGTGTGTGTGTGGATGTGTCTGTTTTGCACTCTTGATGTTTTATAGATTCACCCCTTCACTGTTGTGTGCTTTTTTTATGGATTGTGGCTGATTTGTAGATTGTACGCACCAAAAAACTCTGTTTTTTCAAATTTTTGCCAATTTCCCATTCATTTCCTATGGGGGTCCATTTGGACCCGAAGGTCCTGAGTGTGACTATTTTTTTTACAACCACTTAGACTGTTCACATCCTGTCCCCAATTTTTTTGGGTGTTCATAGACCAAATACCAACAAAGTCACCAAATTTCGGACCATTCCGAAGAAGCTGTGATTTTTAACATTTTTTTATTTGAATGATTCGGGTCCATTTGGGCCAAACAACCCCAGAGGGTTAAAAGTTCACCAAAAATCTCAAACGCTTGAATCGACTTGTGTTTGGTTGCACAAATCATGACGTAGTTATTGATTAGTTTATACTGAAGCACCACTTTCGTCTGAGCGCTATTACTTACTAATTGGTTAATCAGAGTTTCTTTTCTTTAATAGTTACTAGATTGTTAAACTTTTTCAGTAGTTCTCTGGGAAGCATTAAAAAAATAGTAGTTATTGATTAGTTAATACTACCACTTTCATCTGTGCATATACTTACTAGTTCGTTAATCAGAGTTTCTTGTTAGTTAATAATAGTTACTAGATTGTTAATATTGTGTTACTCATTGGTTCTTGTGTAGTTATTCATTAACGAAGGAACCGTATTCTAAAGTGTTACCAAATGTTCTTATGATAAATGTTTATCTATTTTGTTAAAACAGTTTCCATGAGACTGCTTATAAATAAAGTAATGCTTATAAATAAACTCTTAAGAACACAGCATCTCTAGACATGTTTTCACAAAATGAAACTTTATTTCAAATGGGGAACAATGCAAATGATTCATTAGAGTGATGATCTTCGGTATTGCACAGACCTTGTTTTATTGCACTCAACAACATACAAATATCTTTAAGAATAGACAGAACTGTAACAAATGGTGAGATAGTAATAATGAGCCATATCATCATTATGTGACGTTTAAAAAGAAAATAAACAGGGAAGAACTGAACCTTAAACAGTGGCATAATAAGATGCAGTCAGGCTGTAACTTGTCATGTCAGTTACTATGTTTTTCTCACATTCATTTAATTAACACATACTTTGTATCATGAGTGGTAGGATGAAAATCTCCAGGACATTTAAGAAGAGAAATTAAATCATTTACAATTTACCTCATTAGTACTAAGAGAACTGCAAACCACAAGCAAGAAAATATTGACTATTGGTACGAGACTTTTTCAGCAATACAAATTAAATATACAACATAACTGAAACATAAGCATGTTTAATCAGGATACAAAGTCAAAAGGTCAAAAATATCTGTACCAGAATTAACCAAATAAATTTAAGATCAAACAGTGGATGACTTGATTGTTAATATATTATATTATTAATAATAATTCATTATCTGTTCCATAGACAGTATGCAATTTGGATTATATTGTTTATAAGATTATATTATATTATTCTAACTATATTGAATTCCAAACATTTTCATTTGGTGCAAAGGCCAATTAAGGTCTGTTGTTTATAAAGGTGTCATTCATAGTGTGAAAATATATTCATTAAATAATGAAGGCCTGTGTATAAAGCAGTTATTTGTAAACAATGGCTACATTTTAATTTGACAATTTAATTGATTGTTACTTTCTCATGTTCGTAGTTCATGTTGCAGTGGGGCACAAAAGTAACTATTTCATTACAACATATCAAAATGTGCAACAGACACCTCTAAGTGACACTTTATATAAAACTCTGCATGTTTGGTATGTAAACACTTACCAAAGGCAGGGGATGTTTTTGGTTAATCAGTAATACTATAACAACTGTCTTCCAAAATACCAGAATATTTTCTTTTTTTAAGGAACAACACAAAAAGTGAAAGACTGCTCTTAAATATACTAAAACAGGAAAATCCCCAAAACCACATTTTTTACAGAGCTAACATCAAAAATAAATAAGGCAATAAATTGAGTGTATCTCTGTTACAAGAGTTAATAGAAATCTTTTTTCAGTAGTAACACTTTTCCAATGTCAGTTTTTTTTCTTCGCACCATGCTTGACTGTGATTACAAGATTTCAGAATAGAAATATGCAAAAGGCGAGGTTAGAGGAAGTGTTCCGTGTGCTGTAAACATTTAACACTGCTTTATAAATTCATCACATCTTGTAATTGAAACTGATTTTTGTTCTCTTAAAGAAGCTCTGTATGTTAAGTAGAAATGTTTCAGAGGTACAGTATGCAGTACAGTCTCCTTGAGTTTGGCAGCACTGTCTAGCGGGTGATTGGCTTAAAGCCGTGTGTAGAACTTGACTGGAGCAGAGTCACGGTTCAAACCATGGCTGAAATAACTGCTACTAATAAGGCAGTGACTGGGGCTAAAATATGTTTCTCTATGACTAGATCTATCCTACAGCCAAGCAAAACACGAATAGTGTGATCTAGAGTTTCTCAAAGCAGATGGCGCAGAGCAGGAAGATGACATACAGGAACATAAGCCCAAGGCCTAACCTCCGGTCCAGCCTCCAGTGGTTCAGGTGCACGCTCAGTACCTGTGCAGACAGACAGAAAACAGACTATGTACATGCCATGAGACAAACATTACAAAATAATATGAGACGAGAGTCGTCAAATTGTCAACGATGAACTTACAGTAAGAAAAACAGAAGCGAGAAGGAGAATCACAGAGTACACCAGCCCCTTACTGTTAATGAAGACCTAGAGGAAGACCAGGGGAAACTGCTGTAAGAACACGGCACACAGCACGCAGAACCAGGGTTATTAATATCAGTATTCTAAACATTTTTATTTTGAAATTTGCTCTTTGTCAATGTCAACTTAAACCTGAATAGTCTTTTTTAAACTAATAAAAATGACAAAAGCACATAAAATAACTAAAGCTTATTACACTAAAATAAAAATAAAAACTGTAAATTTAAAAATAAAAGCTAAATCCAAAATATTAATAAAAACTATAATAGTATATAAATAACACAAACATACTGCACAATACACAAAATTCTGTTTCATATGGCGAATTTCGATCATATCGAAAGAATAGAAATAGTAAGTTAAAATTAGGGATGGAACAGAAGGAGTTTTTTAAAAGTTGTCTGAAAATATATATTTTGCTTTTAATATATTAATTTCATTTCATTATTAAATTATTTTTTATGATTATTTTTACTTTAATTTAATTATATTTTTGTGGATCCATCCAAAATAGTTTGAGAAAGAATCGCAATGCATCACAGACTAGCAGACCACAGAGTTCCATTCCTAATTTAAAAAAATGAAAACTCACTATTGACCCATAATCAACCACTAGAGTGCGCAAAGCCCATGGGAAACCAAGACCCAGCAGAATGTCAAAGATGTTGCTGCCGATAGAGTTGGACACTGCCATGTCTCCCATACCTGCAGCACCAGACACATTCATTCATTCATTCATTGATAAAACTGAATATGTGGTCAAGAAAAGGAAGAGTGGGGTGATCATAGCACCTTGACGGGCAACTATGAGACTAGCCATGCAGTCTGGGACACTGGTGCCTGCTGCTAGAAAGGTAATACCCATGACAACATCTGGAATGTCCAATGTAAAACTGATGATGGTGACCTGCAACAAAGATATTGTATGTTAAACAGAAATCCTAACAGGCCGTGTTACATATTTTGAGACAAACAAACATGTCCACATGGTGTTTTTGCAGTGACAATGAGCATCGAAGGGCTGATCTCACCATCCACACCATGAGGTAGGAGAACACGGCAATCCAGAGTGTTGAGGCCACAAAGGTAACCATGAACCAGCGCTCCCAGCGCGGCAAAACACAGTTAGGGACAGTGTAGTACAGCAGGCAGCCTAAAGGCCATGAAAACAACCACTTCACTTGCTCCCAGCGCCCCTCTGTGGATAAAAGTACTTCAAATCATTACCATTTCATGCAAGGCTCCTTAACGCCATCTACAGGACAAAGAGAGTCTCACATACATTCAAATGTCACAGAACAAAGACTGACTATATAGACAATGATACTTGAATGAAACATTAATGATCTCTCTTTATTTTCCTTTCTTTTACGGGATCCCTTTTGAGCTCTTCAAATTGCATTTTTACCCTTCCTGTCATCTTCAGTAATATGTTCAATTGTTCAGCAGTGATGGAGTTCATTTGATTGCAAGGCGCATCAGCCCTGAGAGATTTGAGAGCTCTCATCACTTTTCTGTAATCATAACACTAGTGTACAAATCTAAAATGCATGGCTCCATTATCTAGAAATGGCTCTTAGACTAATGGATCATGGTCCTTAATGGGCTAAAAATGAGGACCATTCTCCTAATCAGGATGTGTGGAAAAAAATTGAGACAGATGAACCACAATAAACTCAATGTGTTGTCCTGTTATTCTGAATAATCTGAATAATGTTTTAATTTAATGTTTTGGTATCATCTATAAACATACCCACTAGAGGTGGGAGTGTTTATGCACCGCATGATTCAGGGAGTCATAATCAAATTCTAATATGATTCTGGATGAATCAAATTTTTCAGCAACATCACAGAGTACTATAAGGATTCCACAAAAAAGCTTACTTGTTTCATATATTACAAATATTCATGATGCAAATCATTGGTTGTTAAATTAATATTTATGTTACTTTTGTTAATTGTGGATCGATTGCGAATTGTTTAAGAAAAATATTCACTCACCTGGCACGGTAAGAGGTCTGAAGGGTTGTTCTTCATCTGCCTCTTCTTCTTCCTCTTCAGGCTGAGCATCCTCTATATCTGCTACACGTTCTAACTCCTCTCCTTGGCCCCTCTGTCTGGGTTCCTCCAGGGGTTGCGTTTCACTCTCAAGGGCCCCTCCATTCTCCAGACCCCAAGGAACCCCCTCCATGCCTGGACCATCTTGGCCGGCAGTGTCCCCTGATCCGCTGCCACTGCTGTCTCCAGGGCTCCTGTTTCGAATTAGTCTCTGCCTCTGTGGAAGACAGGCAGAAGATGTGAGAGATGTACACTATGCAGGGGAGACCCAATGTGATCCCCTTCAACCGAATGAGATTCGGTTAGATGAGAAATGGTGAGGACAGAGTTGAAGAGTCAAGCTTGCAGAACACACCGCAAGACCAAAGTAAAGCGCAGCCCGTTGGGGCCTCTTAAAGATGACATGCAAGAGCTGCAAGAGTCAAGCCAACAAGCAAGTCATGTAAACAATTGTAGATCATGGAATACAGCATTTGCCCAAACAAACAACAAAATGGTGGTTACATAAGATCTCCAGGAGTTTAAACAAAAATGGAAATCAGGAGTAGTGTCTGAGGAATGCCTGAACCTATAGATAGAAATACTATTGCTGACATTTGAAGAGTATACAGGAAATGACAGCAGACGTTCTGAGGACTGGATCAGTCACCATCATACCTGTTGCAGATGTTACAGTGGGAGGGTCGTGTTAAAGGACCCATAGGAAAGAGAAACCATAAATGAGATCTCTTTATTATTTCTCCAAGACAGCAATGACATTAAATGAGCTCAAATGGAAACTCCTGCTTCTCACTTTTTTCTCCTGAAGAAAAAAAAAACAATTACATTTTTCTTACTAAATGTGAACAATTGTCTCATTTGTATCTATTTTAAAATCTCCTAAGGAATTTAAGCAGAAGCACTGATTTCTATTTTCTTAATCTATTTTTCTCATTTTGTTTTCCAATAGAACATAAGCGATATTATAATTTGAGATTAAACACTTTTTCTTATCTCAACTGACTGAACCTTTTGATTTATGCTTAAAACAAGAAAAAAATATTTGCTAATGGATTGAGAAAAATTACAAGATACACACTATATACACTGTCAGTATGATGATTATTTTATTTAGCAAAGATGCATAAAATGTTGGATTGATCAAAAGTATCAGGAAAGACATTTATAATGTTACAAAAGATTTGATCTATTTGTATCTGTTTCAAATAAATGTTGTTCTTTTAAAATTTCTATTCATCAAAAAATCCAGAAATTCGTTTAAAAAACTATTAAAATTTAGTTTTTCACACTTGTATCTTTACTGGAAAACAAGACAAAATAATTGTTTGCAGCCACCTTTTGAGATAAATTTGATACACAAATAAAACATACATGAGAACTCTATTAATTGCGTCCTTTAATCCATACATGAAATTAGCCTGATAATTTATATTCTTGGTTGCGCAACTGAGGTGCTGCTGTCCCATCCAGACATGCAAAAAGCGAGCAAGCATCCAGCCAGTACCTCAGTGATGAGCATGCGTCCGGCCATGCTGAGGCGAGTGCGGGGGGAGAAGTGGGGCGTGATCATGACACGGAGGCTTGCCTCTGAAAAAGAGAACTGGTGAGGGTGTAGACTCATCAACTCATCCACCATCACCACCGGGGAGTCCTGGCCACCCGCATTCTGACCTGAGAGAAAGAGAGACGTGGTACTATATAATGCACAACCTCTCAGTATGATCCACACAGCTCCACCCTCCACCCACACACACACCTTTCTTCAAGAGGATCATGGAGGTGTCACAGTGGGGGCTTGCCTCTCCTACCGACACATCTCTGCACAGACTGCTCACCAAACACGGATGACCTGGGATACCAAACCTCTGCTCCACCCAGCCCAAAATCTGACTGTTAAACCTTGAAATGGACACACACAATCTAATATTATATATTGTGGAAATTATGCACTGACCAAAAATATAAGTATGTAAATAAGTTAAACAAACACATATTACAAACATATTTACCATAATATTATAGATTATATTTTATTTTATTATTATAAGTTACATTTTGACTGGTAAGTAAAAATGTTAAATACTCACTTCATGATAAGGATGTAAACTCCATACATTGATATGAGGATTATAGTCTCCCACCTACAACAGTGATGTTTATGATAATGCTATAAGCTTTGGTTCACTTAAATGTCAATGAAGATTATTATTCCTTCTTTATAATGAATTTGGCACACTTACCAGATTACTTTGTCATCATATATGATCTGAAATACACAACAGTAAATACATAAATGTCCTTAATTAAGTGTGACTACAAAATACAGCCAGATAAATATAGTGCTGCTTACCAGAATCAAGGCCAGCACAGAGAGGATGTAGAAGGTGGAGTCGCGGAAGAGCGGCCACCAGGTCAGAATGATGGTCTGTGAAGCAGGAATGGTGAAAAGTCACAAGAAACAAACAAAGTGAATCTGTAAAGTTTTATATTTAATATATTAAAACAAGCATAATCTACCTGTCCAGAAAATATTCCACAAACTCCGATGATGACCAGGATGTTGAAGACAGCTGATCCCACAATAGTTCCCACCCCCAGGTCTCCCTTGGTGATGAACACACCTGATATGAAGAGACAACGACTTATTGACAACTTATTTACAGTAACAACGCATGGCAAAAAAACATTGACTGATACTGACCGATCAAAGATGTGAAAAGCTCGGGTGCGGAGCTGCCCGCTGCCATGAAGGTGGCACCTGCAACATCCTCACTGAGCTGCAGATTCTGAAAATACAAACTCCAGCTCAGAATATGGTCTGCTATTACACAGTAACATTGAGATTACTGCTAGTAGTAACAAACTACACTCACCGCACAGATTTTTTCCAGAGAGGGGACAAAGTAGACATCGCAGACAATAGCAAGGGCATAGAACATATAAACTGCCTGTGGTCACAACAGCACACAGAAGACAGGTCAGCAGAGATCCATAACTTAACCTTCACAAACACAGTGGTATCAAAGACTGTACTGCATGAATCTTTCATTATTTCAATTTTGCTATGCATCATTATTGCAAACAAGTCAAATCACAAACTATAATTCTACAAGTCAAACTAGAATTCAAGTCAAATTTAAAACTTGTACTAAAAAACTTACAAAGTTAAAAACAACTCAAAAAGTAGGAAATTAACAGGTCATATCAGTTATATTATATCGGTAACACTTTACAAATACGGTCTCATTTGTTAACCTTACTTAATGTATTAACTAACAATGAGCAATATATTTTTTACAGCATTTATTAACCTTTGTTGATGTTAGTTTAGTTAATGCATGTGACCTAACATGAACATGAGATTTCTAATAATGTTAAAACATGTATTTTAGAAATGCATTAGTAAATGTTTAAATAAACATTAAGTTTAATAAATGATGCAGAAGTATTGGTCATAGTTCATATTAACTACTGCAGTTAATTAATGTAAAGTATAAAATCCTTATTTTAAAGCATTATCACTATTTGAATATATTTTGTAATTGAATTCGTTCCTGGGATGGCAAAGCTGAATTTTCAACATTACTCCAGTCTTCAGTGTCACATGATCCTTCAGAAATCATTATAATATGCAGATTTGCTGCTCAAGAAACATTTCTTAGCAATGTTGAAAACAGCCGCTTAATATTTTTGTGTATATATTTTCAGGATTTTTTGATTAATAGAACATTCAAAAGAACAGCATTTATTTGAAACAGAAATCTTTTGTAACATTATAAATGTCTTTACAGTCACATTTGACCAATGTAATGCATCCTTGTAGCCTGGGTTTCCCCATACTGCCTTACCGCAGCGCGATTCAATTCACGCTGAAAGGCAGTCTGGATACCATCATAGGGATACCATGGCCAGATTTTTCGCCTCATTTAGGGAACCAATCACAGAACGGGGAGGGAGCAGCAAGACGATGACGCGTCTATGCGACACACCGAAGCAGTTTGTTTATACCAATGGATCAAACATGGCAGTAGACGCGAAGTTACCTTTCGATGCAGCCTTACGGCCGTTTCACATATAGGTTTCACACCGCAAGCGTGAGCGGCATTTGAGCAGCGCGTCAGCGTAACTACATCGTCACTGCAGCTGCAGACGCGCGAGAGTATTCACACTGGAAGCGTTTGTACAGTGTCACAGCAGCGGCTCCAAAGCTACAAATCGTTAGCCTCATAGCATAATTGCTTAAGTCATTTTGTGTTTTTTCTTGTTTTCCAAAGACATTGAAATATGACTTCGGCATTATATATAAGCGAGCAATTCTTTACAAAAACAACTATACATTTGTTTTTAGAAGTTGGTCATTTTATAACATTGATAGTCTTGAAAGTTTGTAATGGGGAGGTGTAACGTTACAACATTCGCATATAAGTTAAATGTAATACAACAAAACAACCCAGAAAATGGCTCCAATCTATTAGTTTCAGTCATACTTTCGATGTTTACAAGACCGCAACTCCGCGGATAAAAAACAAAACACACAAATAAACCACACACTCGGTTTTGATTTGGGTTGTGCTAGCCTGTAGCTGTCTGTGTGTTAACGTTACATGAACTAAAAGAACGTTTATATATAATATTTTATGGCTAGTTTACTTTAGTTTTTTTTATTTATATAATACACAACTTTCACCCAAACTGAATAATTAAAAACAAGTTTTTACCGGGTAAATCTTCTATAAATATTTTAGAGTCTTTATTTTATTTTATTTGCCTACTCAAGTTCTTGTTAAAACTCACTAGACATGCTAATTCTGTGCATTTTGGGCAATTTTTGTGTGAAATCACATTTATTTTTGTCCATCAAAAGTGTGCTTTCACTTTAATTTAGCGTGAGCAATGCAGCAAAAAACAGATTCGAAACCCCCGCTTCACTGCTGCTCACGCACCGCTCCTGCTCGACGCTCACGCGCTGCTCCCGGTGTGACGGTAGAGATCCACTTTTGCGACACGACTGTAGCGTGGTGTCGCGACGCCTCCCCACATTTGTACTTTGATGGGCGTTCCTCAAGTTTACCGCTATGGGTGTGGTTTTGAGCCAGCGGCCAGTCTAGAACAGAGGACCTGCGAGAGACTTCCCTCCGTCTACATATGCTCTGCTTCTATTGGATAGTCGCGTCGCGTTCAACGGAATTCATTTGCATAAAGATGGGCATCGGCCAGCTTTTTGACGCGCAGCATTTTTTCAAATGAAGCGCCGCCTTCCCGGGATGCTTTGCGGGCGCGTTAAAGTCGCGTGACGTCACCCATAGGAATAAAGTGGAGCACGGCGCAACAGAAGTGTCGCACAGACAAGTGGATCTGCACCGTGAATGCACTCATTGCTTAACATGCACGCCGAAAAAATACGCGCCGCTCACGCATGCGGTGTGAAACGGCCGTTAGATACACGCCATCGTGTAGGCTACACATAAAGCCCCGTTCACACTACACGCGACCAAGCGACGCGATACCATTCATTTCAATGGTGAGCGGGCGACTTCCGGCGACAGCGACCGTTGGCGACTAGATGGGGCGTGTCTAGCGACGCGACAAAGTTGAGAAATTTTTAACTTTATGCAAATGAAGAGCGATTTTCGCGAGCGACAACCAATAGGAGTGGAGCGCACGTGATCCTTCTCCTCAGCCCCTGGGCCTGCAGTGATGGATGGCAAGAAAGCTGATTCGCTGTCTTTTGGATGTCATACTAGTTAACCAGTAGTGGGAATGCCCACTAGCGACCTCATCGCCAGCGCCTGGCGACTTGCAGCGACAAAGTCGCGTGTAGTGTGAACGGGGCTTAAATCTCTGACCCATCGGCCATCGTCGTCTCCCTCGTCTAATTTCTGTCGCTCTACATACGTCATCTGGTATAATCGAAACGATTGGCTATGAGCTACGTACAGGCGCATTTGATAGACATTCTTAGCACCCAATAAACGGCTCTGGGCATTCGTAAACCACGCCTCAAATACGAGAAAATGAACATGTGGTTCCCAGACCCAATTCTCAACGAGATTGGGTCTGGCGTTAGCCAGGCTAGCATCCTTGCTAAATAAAAGTATTAATGTCTTTTTTTTTTTTTAAGACCCTAAACTTTTGAACAGTAGTGTACTTGATACGGTCAATCATTGCACCAAACAGCTCTCTGTAAATTTATAACTGGACAGTGGCATACTTACACAAAACACATGCAGTAGAATTGCCCCATGCCTCCTCTGTCCCTTAGTGAAGATGTCCTCTGGAAATTCATGAATAGCTGGGTGGAAAAGTGAACATTTTTTTAAATGGAGATGGGGTTAAAAGACCATTAGGAATACAGTAGCACAGAGAAACTATGCAATCCATAAAGCAAGGCTTACAATATTATGAAACCCCTTCATTCACTATGAAACAATCTTGACAGCTCTGGTCTGAACTGAAACGGATGCTAATCACATTTCGCACATTAATGTTTACATTAAAGGTTGCATCTGAGAGCGCACAGTGGCTATAAAACCTTATTATGGGTTACTAAGAGGTTTTGTTTGGCCCTAAAAATTGTGACTGATAAGGGAATATATATCCACGCATATTCAGATGTATATACAGTATTAAAGATGGGGGAAAAAACAAAAACAAAAGAAGGCCAAGAAAGTTTGATTTAATCTGTGGAAACACTAACCTATCTAGTGCTGTGCTTTCTCACTTCATTGATGCACTGTAGCCTTTATCAAGAGAATGTGCTGCATTTAACTTCAGGTTGTTAAGAAGCTTTTGTCTATTGTAACTAAGTGGCAATTTAATTGACCAGCCTTTAAGCTAATATGTAATAGTGCAGAGAGGCCAGGAAGAGAAGGCCTAGTTAAATCAGAGGACTGGTAATACTTTAGCCCACAGCTTCTTGAGATGCAATCAGCGTGAAGACTGTTCTTGCTCTGACTGCCTTAAAGAGGCCAGCTTTCTAATAAACAGTCATGAAATAAAGAGACGAGGGAGGAAATCACCCCCCTTTAAATGCATAGAATAATAACAATCAGAGCTTTTAAGTTTTTTAATTTCTCTCTTTTTTTTTATAACGTACAAACTTTCTAATTTCCTACATGTATCAATTATTTTAAGTGCCATTTCACTAGATAATATGCCAAATGTAATGGGGAATATGTCTTGATTATTCTGAGCAATAATATCAAATCTGTTATCACAATGCATACTGTAGCTGGAACCAACAGGTGATCAGTTACATCTAAGATTAAATTTACCAAGTAGTCCCTTATTGAATTTCATAAATCAAAGGGATTTATGAATAATTGAAGAGGTGTAATGATTTTAAAGCCTTTTAAAGCATTATATTTTTTTTATTACATTTGTCCTCCAAAAGTGATCTGCTCAGCCTACACTACCACTGATACATTAGTTAGCTGTTTATAAATATTTATAAGCCTTGCAAACAACTTTCACTAAATAGTAATGACATATAAGCAAGAATAATAATATATAGACATGAAGTATTAAATGTCATCAAAAATTAAATAACTTCATACAATCCATTTGTGATGTGTGAACAATGCAAGCAAATAATCATTAGCAAAACAGTGGTTTTTTATGTTATTTAAGTGAATTATATTCAGTGAATGAAACACCTTGGGATAGTTCACCCTAAAATGAAAATGAAGTCCTCATGTACTCACCCTGGGGTTGTTCTAATGCCGTATACCCTTCTTTCTTTTTAGGACCACAAAAGGAGAATAATAATTTAAAAAAATGTCCCATTTGCGCTCGTCCATATAATGACAGTGAATAACCACCAGCATCAAGCTTTTTTTTACAGAATGGTCCCATGCTACAGGTGTCATATATTACACGTATAGCTAAATGTAATACAACTCCTAGAAATCCCAAAAAAGTATCTGTGTACTTCCTTCACCGAGTTAAATATCTCAGTTGTTAGATGACAGTCAGAATGACAGTTGATGTGAACGCGATAGCTTCTTTTTACGACAAACAGAACGGATATATTCACCTCAGAGAAGAAAGTACATGGATTGTATTTTATGTCGCATTTTTGTTAATCAACTCGGAGTCAACGGCAGCGCTAATAGAGTGTCATGAATGCGTGCCCTGCACCGAACACCAACGGACAAGGTCAGGATTTTCGTAATACATTAAATTTCATTTTGTTTTTCAACAAACCCTAACAAATACCCCCAGAACACTTGGAATATACGACATGTGTTGCATGGGACCATTCTGACATACTTCTACATCTTTTTATTTTTTTTTAAGCTTGATGCTGGTCGCTATTTATTTACTGCCATTATATGGACAATGGGCTATATGGTCTGCGAGTGGGGATTTTAAAAATATATACACTACCGTTCAAAAGTTTAGGGTCAGTGAGAATTGTATTTTTATTTTTTGGAGGAAAGAAATCAATACTTTTATTTATCAAGGACAGTAAAGACATTTATAATGTTACAAAAGATTCTATTTTAAACAAATGCTGTTCTTTTGAACTTCCTATTCATCAAAGAATCCAAAAAAAAAAAAAACTGTACAACTGACAGACCAACAACTGTTTCAACATTGATAATAATAATAAATGTTTCTTGAGCATCAAATCCTCATATTATACTGATTTGTGAAGGATCATTTGACACTGAAGACACTGACACTGGTGATGCTGAAAATTCAGCTTTGATCACAGGAATAAATTACACTTTACTATATATTCACACAGAAAACAGCTGATTTACACTGGAATAATATTTAATACTATAACTGATTTTTGTTGTATTTTTAACCAAATAAGCGCAGCCATGGTTAGCAGAAGAGAATTCTTTTAAAAGTATTTAAAATCGTACCGACCCCAAACTTTTGAACGGTAGTGTATATAATTTCATTTTTTGTGGTCTGAAAACAAAAGAAAGGCATACTGCATTAGGACAACACCAGGGTGAGTAAATGATGACTTTGTTTTCATTTTAGGGTGAACTATCCCTTTAAATGATAGAAATGTAATTCATGACACTGACTACAGTATCATGTATAAAAGTTCAGAAGGTGCAACCCCGTGCAAGGATCCAGGACAGGGTTGTGGGACATCAGAACTGTCACAAGCTTTAATACCCGAGGCACTGAACATTTATTTGGTGAAAAAAAAAACCCACTCACAATCTCGTTTCTAAAGAGTTACTATCAGTGCTGGTACTACTCGACCTCAGTGCTGCATTTGACACTGTCGATCACGACATACTTCTTGACAGGCTGGAAAACTGGGTGGGGCTTTCTGGGATAGTCCTAAAATGGTTCAGGTCATACTTAGAAGGGAGAGGTTATTATGTGAGTATAGGAGACCATAAGTCTGAGTGGACATCCATGACTTGCGGAGTCCCTCAAGGCTCAATTCTTGCACCACTCATGTTCAACCTGTATATGCTCCCAATGAGCCAAATAATGAGAAAGAACAAAATTGCTTACCACAGCTATGCAGACGACACACAGATCTACTTAGCCCTATTGCCTAACGACTACAGCCCCATTGACTCCCTGTGCCAATGCATTGATGAAGTCAACGGTTGGATGTGCCAAAACTTTCTTCAGTTAAACAAAGACAAAACTGAAGTCATTGCGTTTGGAAACAAAGATGAAGTTCTCAAGGTGAACGCATACCTTGACGCTAGGGGTCTAACAACTAAAAATCAAGTCAGGAATCTTGGTGTGTCTCTAGAGTCAGACCTTATATTCAGTAGTCATGTCAAAGCAATAACTAAATCAGCATACTATCATCTGAAAAATATTGCAAGAATTAGATGCTTTGTTTCCAATCAAGACTTAGAGAAACTTGTGCATGCTTTCATCACCAGCAGGGTGGATTATTGTAATGGACTCCTCACTGGCCTTCCTAAAAAGACCATAAGACAGTTGCAGCTCATACAGAACGCTGCTGCCAGGATTCTGAGCAGAACCAGAAAATATGAACATATCACACCAGTCCTCAGGTCTTTACACTGGCTCCCAGTTACATTTAGGATTGATTTTAAAGTATTATTACTGGTATATAAATCATTCAATGGGCTAGGACCTCAATATATTGCAGATATGCTCACTAAATATAAACCTAACAGATCACTCAGATCATTAGGATCACATCAGCTAGAAATACCAAGGGTTCGCTCTAAGCATGGAGAGTCTGCTTTTAGCTATTATGCCAGCCGCAGCTGGAACCAGCTTCCAGAGGAGATCAGATGTGCTCCTACAGTAGTCACTTTCAAATCCAGACTCAAAACACTTCTGTTTAGCTATGCATTTACTGAATGAGCACTGTGCCACTGTCCGTCCGACTGTTTTTCTGTACTGGTTTTGTCTTTGTTTGTTTTCTAATTTCTAATTTATTTATTTTTATAATCTCTGGAAGAGATTTTGAAGGAGAGCGGGAGAGTCTTCACTCCGATGAGGCGAGTGAAGGAGTAAGTTATACTGCTGTATAAGAAGTCGCTGAGAGCGTCGTTAAGGGTAACGGCAGCAGACAGCGCACACGAAGCGTGCTCTGTGGGGGCCCCGCTGGGCATTACTGGTGTAGCACCACCCCAGCAGAGTACGTCCCTGGGCTAGAGGTCCAGTGGCACCGTAAACCGGCTCAATCTCTTCCATCTCAGATAGGGGTGGACCAGTACTACTTTATTTGATTTTTTATTCTAAACTGTTTTAATTATTCTTATTTGTTTTGATTATTTTAATTTCTTCTATGTAAAGCACTTTGAATTGCCATTGTGTATGAAATGTGCTATATAAATAAACTTGCCTTGCCTTGCCTTGCCTAAAGATGAGATCAATTAATCAGAAGTGGAAAAGAGGAAACCTCAGTCAATGAGTGATTTGTGGAGTTGATAAAAGGAAAAAAGGGCATATGACGAATCTCTCTAATGTGGCACACTTTGAATGCTTAAAACAGACTATCCTCTGTTCTGAAATTAGGGATTCTGTTGCTTAGTAACACAAGCCTCAAAGGGGGCTTGACTATGAAGAGGGCACCGGTCTGCATCAGTTCACAGAATGAGGAAGCAGGGGGAAAGATAGCGAGATATGGTTGGATGTGATACAGAAAGACAGGTGAATAAAGAGAGAGAGAGAGAGAGAGAGAGAGAGAGAGAGAGAGAGAGAGAGAGAGAGAGAGAGAGAGAGAGAGAGAGAGAGAGAGAGAGAGAGAGAGAGAGAGAGAGAGAGAGAGAGAACTGCTCAGGCTTTCACTCACCAGCTCTGGGTGTGCTTGATGTCTGGTTCTCCTTGATGATTTGCTGGGTTAGTTTACGCCCAGCCCTGGTCAGGTCTGAATCCTCTTTGGAATGGGCTGTAAAAATGCATAACACATACCTTTATCTTTTTTACTTTTACAGTTTAATCAGTCTATGTCCTTTTTTATGAAAGCCATTGCAATGGCACAAATTTAGCTTCTTAAGACAATATATATACACCAAAGAGACAGTGCAGGGTGCAAAAGTCTAGTAAAAATGCTTGTATTCTGCATTCTATTGCATAATAATTTTTTTCAGGCTTTTGGACAGGCTATATCTAACTTAAACTCCAACTTATTTAAAAATAGGAAAAAGATTGAGGCAATCAGAATGCTTCCTCCCATCCTCTAAAGTTCCCATGGAAACCTGATCCAAAAGCAGTGATTAATGAGTGGTGTGGAACTGGATTTGAGCCCAGAGAGGGTGTGGTTTACTCAAGAACCAAATGACAAAGATAGTTCTCATTTGCATATGCAAACTAATCAGTTCCAAATATAACTGCAATAGGTTAAATGCCTGCATATGAAAGTATGTACACAATATTAAGACTTTGGCACAGTAGTGATTCAAGAGAGCATGACTTACACATAACAGAAACCTATTTATTTGAAAATTTTCAATTTTTTTTTTTTCAATTATGAGTTTACTGTTAACTTTTTCAAGTCATCACCAAATATTGAATGGTCTATTGTCAATTGCTAAGATGTTAACATCTAATTCATCTAGGCTATATGGTTTCTCTAGTTTTTGACATGTCTATAGATCGACGTCTAAACATTCATTGTGATTGACATGGTAATGTTCCGGTCTATTATTAAAGTGAAGCTTCAGTTACTAAAATAAAATCACACTCTTTCATTCAGCTGTAAATTTCAAGGGCACATTTTAGGAGCTGCTTAACATTCAGACTCAGCCTCCCAGAGGAACTCATTACTCGCACAGACAAAGCTGGAAAAGTTAGAGGCACTGTGAAAAGATCAAATTATAAGCAACACAGAAGAATGACGACACAGAAGCAGGTCACATTATACATTCCCCCCCCTAATCTATGTCAGCATCTGTTTGTGCTTTTCGACTGGGTGTGGAAATGTCACCGCTGGTACAACTCATGGGGATGTTGACATATCCTGAGGTGTGACATGCTATATTCTCATTCATAAACAGCTTTCTCTCAAACTTTTATGATATATATCCAGCTTTTATCAGATCATTGTAAGTCGATTAATTGCGAGTACTTTAAAAAATATTTTTTTCATCACTTTTGTCAGACCACAGTAACCATAGTAAATCAAAGGAAATGATAACCAGCACATAATAATAATAATAATAATAAACTATTTTATAGCGCCTTTAAAAAGCATCTCAAAGCGCTTCACAAGAATAGAAACATGATAAAACATAATTAAACAAGCAATGCATTACTGACAAAAAACCCCCTGATAAAATACAAAATAAAAACATTATGAAATGTTCGATTAATAATAATAATAATTATAATAATAAGGCAATTATAAACAATTATGTAAAAGCTACCCTAAATAAATACGTTTTAAGGGATGATTTAAAAACACTAAGGGATTCGGCTTGCCTAATCTCAGCTGGCATTGAAACAACAACAGGGTGAGTAAATGATTTTCATTTGGGGTGGATTAGCTATCCCTTTAATACATATGTAAACATTTGGTTCCTATACCATTCTGTCATAATAATTTAATTGTCATAAAACAGCTGTTTAAAGTTTTTATCTGCTCCATATAAGCACCCACATTTCAACGGAAAGTTGGTACCTCTAAAAATGGAATGTGATTAAATGGACACAGCTGGACTGATCTTCTAAGAACTTCTAAACCCCTGCTGATTCAACCCTTCAACCTCTGACGATGAAAGTGATAGTGAAGGCCCAATACACAGGTGTGATGTGCAGGTAACAATGCTCGAGAGATTCTGGAGAGGTCACTGTGAAATACGTTAGGCTGAAGCAGCTGTCCAAGTGATGCCCTTTAGTAGGGCCCTATGAAATCCGTTTTATTTTTTCCCAAATTCCGTTTTATTTTTTCCCAAATTCCGTTTTTTCCGTTTTAATTTTTGGGAATTCTTTTTTTTTTACCCTTTACTGTTATTTTAGTCATAAAAAGAGTGTGCTTTTAAAGTTAATGATTAAAATGTATACAAATAAAATAGGAATGACCTTAAATTACAGACATTTACTCAGTAGCCTTTTCAGGACAAATACTGCATGATGCCAAATGACACTGCACTCTTCAAGTAACAACAAAATATGGTTATGAGCTTTAAACTGTTCAGTAAAATAAATTATATTCGTTTAAAGTTTAAATAAAAGTCACACTCTGTCTCTCTCTCACCCAGTGTCGCTCGCGGAGTTCGCTTCGCTTTTGTCCATTCCGGCGCCTCATAGACAGACGCGGTGTGTGTGTGTATGTGAGAGAGACGCGTGAGTGATAGAGAGACGAAGGGAGAGCGGGGAAAGGAAATACAACGGAAAGAATACGCCGCGTGTTTTAAATAACGTAAAAAAATGAACGAAACGCAATATGTGGCGGCCGGAGTTGATTTTGTGGCCGCAAATTAGTCTATGTGTGTGAAAAACACTGCATAAAAGTCACGTGCGAACTGCTCGGCTCGGTACTGAGGGCTTATAGCGTCGAGTTTCTTAACTTTTTCGCCGAGGAAAGCAGAGCCATGGAGAGCCGCTTCGCCATGCTTTCATTGTTTTGATGCCGTCATTGGAGCTGAAATGACGGGAGGGGTTGTGTCGCCCAGATTTGCTTCCCCCGGTCTGCATTTTCACCAGACATACGTTCTTCTCCCAAACAAAAACAGAATTTCAATCCAAATATGTAAAATTCCACGAAATTCCGCGTTAACACTAGATTCCGCGTTATTTGTCCAATTCCGTAATTCCGTCCGCGATTCCGTGATCGCGGAAATCATAGGGCCCTACTTTAGAGAAAGGCAATTATGTGCCTGCTGTGGTCTGCCACCCCTGCAGTTCAGTTATTCCCTGCTGCTCTTCTCCCCAACTGCTTTTGGGGTTTTACTGTGACATCACTTGATGTATGTCAAAAATAATAAGTCTACATATTTCTGAGAAGAACCTCTTGAACATTTTGTTTTTAATTTAGGGTTGTTTATGGCAGTACCACACTCCCACAATGCTCAGTTCTTCATTCCTATTGGATTTGACCATTATAATATGGTTGATTCACAGCCACATTGCATCACAGAAACACATTATGACAGAAACTTGTTAATGAATCATGTTCCACATCTCGCAAGACAATAAAAAATACTCAATTGTGTGTGTGTGTGTGTGTGTGCGCGTGTATGAATAAGATAAGGTTAGACGGGAAATACTGACAAACCAAACATTTAACAAAATATCATTATTAGCAAGGGAAATATTTGTGTTAATGAATGAATAAACGCACCTGTTACATGAAGAATTTGAGCGAAGCAGGTGATGGCGATGAGCCCGACAGCACATATGAAGAGCCGCTGCCGTCTCGATATCAACACCGCCTTCATCCCTCCACCACACCTCTCAAAACATGTCCACCCAAGAGAGAAGCCCTCTTCTTTCATTCACACCACCTATATTGGCCTTTCTTTTCAACATACGGCGGGCTAGCTTGCTTAAATGCAGCCATACGTTTGTCGCCCTAGCATCCTACTGCTTCCAGACACATCTTTCACTTACCGATATTTGCCCCTTTCGGATGTTTAGTAATATAACGAAACAGCGAAAATATCTTAAGCTGTCATTGAGCAAGAAAAAAAAATGTTTTCACGTATTGTCTCAGCTTATAAGCATTCTTATCACATCCACCTCCATCTCGCTCTCTCCTCCCTCCACACACACGGCGCTCGACTCCGTCACCGAGGGTGTTTCCCAGACTCACAACTAACTGCGCCCTCATGCAGGGTTCACAAGAACAACACCGTTGTCCAGCCAATATTGAGCTCTCTTGAGTGTTTTGAGACTAGATATACTGTCCTCACAAAGTATTGGGGTTACTTTCCACGAATAGGGTACAAAATAGGCCCAGAAACTTTTAAAAATCAAGTCATTTTTTCCTTTTTTTTTTTTAACCACAGGGGGTCGAACTACATTTAGTAGGATAACTAGTATCTCTGCAATTTTCTGCCTTATATTCAATCAACATTAAATAAATATTAAACTGACATAAAAAAAAACTTTTAAGCATGGTTGTAAGTAGTAGCTCAGTTGAGGCTAAATTTGGCACCATTTCACCCAGCAGGGACTTGCAAGTCTGGGATGAAATAATGGTTTGAAGTTGATTCATTTATAGGAAATATATATTTCAGTAAAATATTTGTTTTCTAACAATAATGTTGGTACAGTTTTGAAGCAGGGTTGCCTTGGACAAATAATTATGAATATCTCCAATGCAAAAAAATAAAACGAAATGGTATTTATTTTAAAGGAAAGATAACAAGCCCATGGAAAGATAAAACAAAAAATATATATATAAACATTAAACTTAAGGTAAACAATATTCAGTGCCATACAAACAAAAATGACATTTGTTGTATAATTCAGGACAAAAAAAAAAAAAGACAGCTTGGCATACAGCACATTCACATCTGTTTGAACAGATTATTTGGCACGTCAATGACAGTAAAACATAAAGAGCAAATAAAATAAAAGAGCATACCATTTTGATATTAAAATATTTCCCTTTTCAAAAAAAAAGTTTGCTTTACAAAAGCAAAGATTGCACAATAGAACCAAAACCAAAATGCATTATAAAATATTTAAAATTACATACTTGACATCCACCAAATTGACACCAATTAAAACCAATAACACTGGTGCAATGAAGAAAAACAATTGTAAAGTGAAATTAGAAATCAGGATCTCGGGCTGGTTCTTCAGATAAAAAAAAAGAGCTGCTAATTGTTTGTTGTGAGAACAGCATGCAACTGCTGCCGCAGGCTCAACAACATGCCCTTCTGGATCAGCTGGGCCAATGTATTGAAATTGCAAAGAGAAAATAGCTATAAGTGCACACCCTACTTCTCGGGCTCAAGTGAACCAGTCACCTTGAAGTTTATGCCGTCTCCTGGCAGCGGGGAAGGTATCAATGGGCAGAGCCAGCAGATGTACCAGTACTTGCCCAGGCATTCCCTGACATTGGCCAGCACTCCCAGGCTGTAAGGCTGCCGGGTGGAGTACCACTCACGTGTGGTCTGTCCCCTCAGCATCAGAATCACGTGAAAGAAGAGGAAGGCAGCAACCAGTAGGAAGCCCACAACACAAGTGTCAGCAATGAATGCAAAAGCAAACGCTCGCGCCGTCACCTGTCCTGTGATTGGAGAAAAACAGACGTTTATGGCATTTTTCTGACAATTTAAAAGGTGTCAATATAACAAATTTATGTATAATTTTATTTTTGAGCAAAACTAATAATTTGCACTACCATTTTCCACAGCTTTCATGGACCTTAGAAGTAAAAAAAAACTTTTGCTGCACCTATGCTAACGTTCAAAAGTCTTTTATACAGCATTTAGTTTGCGTTTTTAAGTATTTTATGCTAACCAAGGCTGCATTTATTTATTATTAAATCAGCATAGTTTGAAATATTATTAATTTAAAATAACTGTTCTCCATTTAATATATTTTAAAAAGTAATTTATTCCTGTGAAAGCAAAGCTGAATTTTCAGCATCATTACTCCAGTCTTCACTGATACACGATCCTGCAGAAATCATTCAAATATGCTGATTCTGGTGCTTAACGATCATTTTTTATCATCAATGTTGAAAACATTTGTGCTGCTTAATATTTTTTTGTGGAAACAATGACACATTATCAGGATTCTTTGATGAATAGAAAGAACAGAAATGAATGTGTAACTTTATAAATGTCTTTGCTGTCTATATCAAATTATCACATGATTGCTGCTGAATAATAGTAAGAAAAAAAAAATCTTACAGACCCCAAACTTCTGGGCTGCATTTGCCAAAAGCATCATAAACCTAAGTAAATCGTAGAACCATTGATTTCTACTGATATTGTGGATTTCTCATAGCAGCAGCAGACACTCATTAGTAATCTCATACTCACCCGAGACGAGCATGATCCAGGGCACCAGCAAAAGCATGACACTGTGAAAAGTGACACCCTCCTTTAGGATGACGATGAAGACCTCAGCATTCATGACTACTGCATAGAGCAGCCCTGCCCACATGAAGAGCAAACAGGTCAGGAAATACCGGTAATTGTGGAAACCGACACACTGGCCAAAAAACACACAGTGATGATCACGGCGCAGCACACACACGTTGCAATCGTAGCAGTGCGAGCATCGTGGAGGAGTGTGTGTCTCACAGTTGTAGCAGTATCTGCCATAGAAGAGGAAAATATCACATCATAATTGTTTACTGACTTTTGAGTAAATTGGTGAATACCACAAAAGCTCAAAGAGGGATTCAAGAGCATAATGATAAATAAATAACGCACAATCAAAACAAACCAATTACCTCCACCCATGACCCAATGCATCCCCTCCAAGAAACACTCCGCGGATACTTGGGTTAGTTTTCACAAACAACGAAGCATTCCAGGTAATATTTCCCAGCATGAAGTACTGAGCGAAGAGATGTATGGCCTTCCATATGGTGCACCACTCTGTCTTCTTCTCTGCTGGCTCAAGAGGAGCCTCCACCAGCACCAGATAGCTGACCTCGGCAGTGATGGAGAACACCAGAAAAGCGTTCAGAATGATAGGCAGATGGCGACCGGTTGACTCCACCTTACACCATAGTCTACTCATGAACCTAGCCATGTTTTAAGCTTCAAATCATCCGCTGCGTGAGACACTACCTGCTCAACCTGTTTTCTACCTGTAAAGCCACTCTATTCTCGTTTGCTCGAATCTGATCACAAAAACAGAAAAATGGCCAGTTGAGAGAGACATTAAAAATCCTTCAAAAGTCTGTTGGCTAAAGGACATTTATAAAAGTTGCAGCAACAAATAGGAAGCTTTTGAAACTAGTAGTGAATAATAGGACACTGCTAACTCTGGCATATTACATTGAATGTTCCAGTAACACTACATATATCGGTTAGAAACAATAAAATGCTCATCTATAAAAAACATTTGTATGAATTGATACCGACCTTTCATTGTATTCAGAATATCGTTTCAATGAACTAAGTTACTGCTGCTGCAGGCTAACAACATTCGGCGTACATGACAGGTCTGTGTTGCAGCTGAAACTGTCCGTCGGAACTAAACGGCACTCTACAACAGTTCCACGTGGAAACCATAAACTGTGATGTCTATGCGGGAAACGTGGAAACACATACACGCGCACGCACACGCACACACACAGAAAATGGTCAATGCAAAGGTTACTTTTTTTTTTTTAAACTGCCACCGTGTCGTGCTAATTTATCTTAATTAACACAATAAAAAACACATTTATTAGTAAATAAAATAGAGCCTACATTTATTAGCTATTATTTAAATTAACATATATAATTCGTATAATAACTTATATGATAGTTATTATATATAATATATATAAGCAATGGGAAATAACACAAATTCTTACAGACATATAATATAAGCAATGGAAAATAATACAAATTCAAGAATTTGAATTAGTCCCCTGTAAGATTACAGACAGAAGTCAACTTCATAATTACGGTACATCTACATTGAAACGTGGTGTGTGTTGGGGACAAACACGTCAGGTTTGTCAAATTGCTTTATTATCAAGTTTCCAAGGTTTATAAGTAAGGGAAAATAATTATTGCGGAAATTTAGTTTGAAGAAAAGGATTCACAAAATGTATTATAATTTAACAATAACTCCACTGTTTGACAGCAATCAATCAAAGCCTAGCACGATTTTCCTTTGACCACCCTTTCCTTTCTGACCCCCTTTCGCAAAGAATAATCCCTAATCTCATAATCCGCACTGCTTGTTGAGAGAGCAGATTTCCATTCAGATCGAGTTTAACATGACACCGTTTACAAAGGGTGAGGAGGAGTGCCATGACAATTATGAAAGGAAATTATACGAGACTATACAACACAAGTGAGTAATCGCTCGAATGATCGTGTGACTTTATTTTGTTCGTTTTGTCCATAGACGGTTTTGTCCCAGCGGCAGCCCCAGATCTGTTTCTACCGATCGTTGTTACTGAAATTCTCTATATAGGCCTGGTTTAGCTTGTTATGTCGAAGTGGTGCACGTTGTCACGATATTGTGAGTTAAATTTAAGTGAATTCTGATTTTATTGTGTTATTGGTCTCCCGTATGGTTTAATCCCAGGAGAGGGCGCTATTGTTTTTCAACAAGTGTAGTTCCCCCAAGATTATTCTGTCATAATTTCTACTTGAAACCTATGAAACAAATAACATTACCTGTATGATATGTTATGTAGATTAATTTATTGATTAAGATTAAAATGCAATGAAAGTGCATGGTGACTGACTGTCATTATGCCTAACATCTCCTTTTGTTTTCCTCTGAAGTAGCATAAGCCATACACTTTCGAAACAACAAGACAACTGCTTTTTAAATCATTCTGTAGTCTGGGTATGTGTGTTTAACATTACTAACTTTTTCTGAATGATTATTATCTCTAATATAATGTCTGCAGTCAGCGAAGAAGGATGCAGCTCCAGAGTGATTTTCAATCACAGCAGCGGAATAATCGCCTGTAAGAAACATCAATATTTATTGAATTAAGAATTTTAGAATAAATGGAATGTGTTATCTGTGGTATTATTGCGCTGTAATGTAATGGAATATTTTGCATGTCTGGCACACTATTTTTGCTGTCAAAAATTCTAAAGAAATGTTAATGAGAGTAACGTTATCATATTTTGGAACCAATAGAATCAAACAATAATTCTATAAGAATCATTAAGATCCTACTAGATTAACAGTTTTTTCTGGTTGTCAAGAAACTATTTGACTTAATTTGTCTTGATTTTGGACTCTGGCATTCGTTTTGACTTTATTATCAATGAATGAGTTAATTATTATTATTATTTTGTTTTTGTTGTATAGAAGCAGGGCTGCCTGGCTGCAGGGCCGCTGGGTAGAGATCAGTGAGCAGGAGCGCAGGGCTCAGATCCATAACCAAAAGCTGCTGCAGGACTTTCAGAGAGCACAAGACACACTCAATTACATGTTGGCCCACACCGAAGCCATGAACAATATACGTGTAAGCAACCACGCAGGACTTACCTGTACCCTTCCATGATTTACAATGTAGAATACACCTGTTTTGACACAAAAAATGTGCCTTTAGGGGCTTGTCAGTGACTGGGGCAGTTAAAGGGACAGCATTGTACCTTATCTAACATTAAAAGGTGCACGTTGCTACCTTAGAGTAGTCAAATGTACCTTTAAAGTCACCATGAAATCAAAACTGATGATTCTTATGTTTTAGGGAATATTGCGATGTTTATTATAAATGATTTATTTGTGCACATCATTGATTTTCATCATTTTCTCCAATCAATTCACAAAGGACAAAATCAAGTCCTATCCTAAAAAAATTTCTCATTTGAGAAAACGTTTCACTTGGATATGTCACAATAAGGAAGAAAAGACTGTTCCAATTTCCATTTCATGTCGACTTTTAGGGATAAATAATGTATGAAGATGTCCCTTTAACAGTACTGCCACAGTGACAAGCTGTGTATCACGAAAGGTAAAACATTTTTTACTTTATTTTCAAAGAGTGTATTATAATGCAAAAACGGATCAATCACATGACCCACTTTCGTTTTCTTAAAGACAAAATGATTCATTGCAGTTTGACGTTGCATGTATATGATTATTTTGTTATTGTTGAACTAACCTTCACATTTGCTCTTCAAAAGGTTCAGTATGAACAGTATCTGGAAGAGAACTTCACACAATGGCAGAAAAGACTGAAAGACATAAGAGTTACTGAAAAGTCCAAGGTGCTTTTTTTAAAGGGAAAATCTTTTAAAAGGTGTAAACTTGTATTGATTGTGATGTCTGTTTTTTTATCCAACAGCACTCAAAGAGTTTTATTCAGCAGATGGAGGAGGACGAAGGTATGAAGACTGCACATAGGTCTGACTTTAGAGGCCACCCTTTGTCCTCCAATTCTCCAAACCCATCTCAAACTTCTCACACCATGCAAAACACTCAGACAGCAAAAGGTAACATGCTTAGCAATTTCTGTTATGTCATCTCATTCCCCATATCAGCCCTTTTAAAGAAAACTGTTAACGCTAACCTCTTTCTTAAGACATCAAGCAAAATGCTGAGAGATGCAACTTAAATGGCCATCATCCTTACTTTCCACCCACTTGGTTAACTGGCTCGCAACCTTTTATTTACGGACTCACCCAAAACAATATCCCAAAGGATTATAAAAACCTTCAGAACTTTCAAGCCTTGAATCATCCCTTGCCGTCCTACTATTCTTTACCTGGAGATTCACTCCATCAATCACATTCTCCAGTCCAGCAGAAGCCACCATCAATGGACAATCTATGGGCAGGTACAAGGCCAGGCTTTATGCCTACAGCTCACTTCACTCCTGCTGGTGCTTCCTGGCCACGACTTCCTGTGTTGAGCCCCATGATGTGGGGCATGATTGATGTACCAGACCACAGTGAGGAAAGCATACAACGCAGAGAGACAGACAAGGAAAAGGTGACAAAAGAAACAGTGCACCCAAATGAAGAGAGTTGCCAGAGACTGAAACGTAGGAAGAATGGGAAAGAAAGTGATCGGTCTGAGCTAGACTGTAGACCAGGTTAGTGTTGTGAAATGTTGGTAACTGATTTGTTTCTTATTAGGATAAATAGTAGGCCTACATGATATTAGTCTAATGTAAACAAACTGTCCTTATAAGTCTGTGTATATTTTGTATGCTTAAAGTGCGTCTATCAATTGACAAAGAAGAAAGTAGTGAAGGCAGCGCTGTACCCTCTGAAGTCACAGTTTCTGGGATGCAAAAAAGGGGAAAGAAAAAAAGTAATGGGACCAAATCTTGCTCCACAGAAAATGATAACAATTCTCAAGGGTAAGCCACATGAACAAAACATTTTATATTTTTATCAATCCATGCATGTAAGAGATTGATCTTTTTAAGCGCACAATAAAAAAAAAAATCCTCGATTGCAATTTACTTCTGTTGTGTAACCAGGAAAATACCAGAAGTGGCTCTTTCCACAGACGAGAATCCATGAACCACAATTTTAGATGGTTTTCAAAGGCTGCACGATATATTAAAACCATTTAAAAATCACAATATAGCACAGTGCTATTGTGAAATGACAATTAATGACTGCGATTCCATTAAATAAATATGCGCTGTGGGTTTCGGAGTGAAGCGCCGTGCTTTATTAATTAATTACACGCGTGCAGGTTACGTGTTTCTTCCAGTGTTTCAGAGCGGCTCCGTTCACAGTAAATGCTGCTCCACACGAACTCAGTCTCTGAATGGGCTGTTTGTTTAGGATTCCAATAACGCTTTGTGTTTCATAGCAATTATTATTGCCTCATTGTCATTATTTGTATTTTAAATAATTTAATCAAAGGGTATTGGTCACTTAAGGTCTATTTTTATTATCACAAAAAAAAAAGATCAAACATAATCGACCGATTATCTGATTGCCAAGATAATCATTAGTAAGATGATATTCTAGTGAGAAGATCTAATAGATCTTCTATAAGATATTGGAAACATTATCAAAACATTCATATCTTATTGTAACATCTTTCCACAATTATCTGTTGTAGCTCTTCCACTTTGCCACAAGATGCTT